CATGACTTATTTCTTTATGATATAAGAAAGCGATCAGTCAATTTAACGAAATCAGTAAGCTTGTAGAGAGTAATTTCCATTCAGTGGCAGCAGCAATAACAGTTTGCGGTAAAAGAACATCATCATTCAAGCTTTTGGAGAAAAGGGGAAAAGTTAGTGGAGCTCTAGGAGGAAGAGAAGCTACTTAAGAGGATGTGTAATGGATGGAGGTAGGTCCCAGAAGAACCAGGAGGGGTTGGGGAGGTATACATACAATAACATTTTAAGCTGGAGTTGTTTTGTATTCCATAACACAAAGACGAGAGATTGTGACTAAAAGTCAGTGGGAGTGGAAGAGGTTGGGAGCCTTCTGAGGTAAATGGTGACTAGTGTTTAATGAGAGTAAATCATAATGGATTATGCAACGTTAGAGGATGATTGAAGAAAGCAAGAGTTGATTGGGAACTCAATTGTTTTGTTTTTGTGCTTAAGCATTACTCAGCAGTTTGGCAGCAGATAGTGCATGGCAGTGCGAACCGGCATCGAAGATGGGCTAATCAATATAGTAAGAAGTGTCAGGAGTTTTGAATGAAATAATGACCCTGTGGTCCAGACCATTTAGGAAGTCAACTGATGTCAGATAAGGGATAATTTCATTGGAGAATAGAAAGAAATTAAGTGCACATGAAGAGCAAGAGCCAGGTATAAATGTGGGAAGAGTAGGGTATGACTTGTGTGGTCAGAGAGAGAGCACTAACTCTAGAAACTTAGATACTGAATTTACTAGGTTCCTGGAATCAGTGGTCCTCATGTGATTTTAAAGGCCATCAGTTTTGAGATGAAAGGTGAAAGATGACATTGCATTCAAATAAGAAACAGTATCCTGGAAGTAGTTTTATGTTAGATTAAATAGGATATTTGTAAATTTCTAGCCTGAACCCAGGGAAACCTTCAGCTTATGAGAGGTATTTATTAATGAAAGATTCAGTACACAGGGTTCTTCACACACTTGAAAGTTATATACTGTGACTGTAGCTATTTAACTTAACATCTCCCCATTTTTAGTCCTGTCATTACACTGTAGTTTTCAAAACTTTATTTCTGTTATTTTGAGAGAAATAATAGCTGAAATATTTTGTGAAAGGTGGTACATATACTGAAACCTTAAAAAAAATAACTTTTAGTTGCTGGGTATTTTTAAGAGTAGCCATCACAGAATGCCAGTTTGGAAGAGCTAACATTTGTTAGCTCAGAAAGCCACTGGGAGCTGCAGTGCAAGTAAAGTAACTTTTAAAGCTATGGTTTACTGGAGCTGAATCTTAGAAAACTGAGAAGCTAAAATAAATAAGAAAACTGAGATGGGAAGTCAGGAACAGTTAGCATTGTCTGGGTGAACAAGGGAGTAGATAGAAGTGATGGGGAAAGGAAAGCAATAGGAGAGGGAAACTAGAGGAGAAAAAATTCAGTGCATTATTGAGTTTTATCACTCACATAGTAGAAGAGCACCATAGTACAAGTCATCTTGCCCAAGAACTTTCAGAATACATACGATAAAATCAGAAAAAATGAAGTTATATTAATCCTAAAAGATAAGATTGCTGTCTCCAGGTGTCTAAAAAAAAGACGTTTACAAAGTTTTAATGCAGATTTGTGATAAACTATTATATCTAATATATAGTGATAATTCCCACTCAAATTCTTTGCTAGTTCTTGTTGAAATGCAGTTTTAAAAAGCTTTGTATCAGTGATTTCCTCTACCTACACTTAAATTGGAGCACTTCAGCTGTGACCTCAGTAAAAGAATCAGAGGTTGTCCTTGTTTCTGTCTTAAATTTAATTAATTCATTTCTGTTTTTTTCACTCCCGTTAATGACATATCTAACTTTGTACAATGATTCTTCCAAAACCATTTTTATGAATATTTTAGAAAATAAATGAAATTAGTGTTAGCTTATAGTATTTTCTGCTGCTCTCCTTCCCTTATTTCTTTCTTCCCCATTCCAGGCAAAAATATTAGTTTACTATTTCCTTCCCCTCTTGTTAATTAAAATAATAATAACAATTATAATACTTTAAATGGAGGAAAAATGAAATAGCATGAAAGAGTAAAAAAAAAATAGTATGAAAGGGTAGGAAATAGTATAAAACAGTTAAAAACATGAGTATACAGTGAAAAGTTGCCCTGCACTCAACATATTTTCGCTCCACAGACTGCACCAATTGGAGCGACTCACTTTAAATAATCAGCAAATCTTGGAGACTAGAAAATATAATTGTCATCAAGCTGCAAACAATAAAGGATATATAAATGCAGGCCATTTTTTAGAGGAGTCCAATCATAATTTAGTTTTTTGGTTAAAACATTTTAGAAATAGTGGCTAACTTGAAGGTTGCAAAACTGGGCAGTTGACAACTTGCTCCTGGGACACAGTTTGGTGTTAGTTAAGGTGTGTTTTTTGATGCTTTTTTCCCATTTATTTGTCAGCCATGTTCTGCTCTCCCAAATGAGGACTATTAGTGGAATCAGGGCTTTGCAATTAGACACATCAGGATTTGAGCTCTCATAATGCCACTTCCTAGCTGTTTAACTTTGGCAGTTCTTTTAATTTCTCTGACCTGTAAGTGCCTCATCTGAAAAATAAGTATAATAATATCTACTTCTCAGGTTAGTTTTAAGGGTGATTATCAAGTACCAGCACACTGCCAGCCATGTGGTAGGTGCTTAGTAAAACGTTAATTCCTTTTCCCTTTTCTGTCAGTGTCATATGATGAATACAGCTTGTAGGCATTGTTAATGTAGGACTGCTGTTGCAGAAGAGATCCTGCATAAACCCGACGACAATATGGCATTTTCTGTTTCTGTATAAGCTAAACAATTTCATTGGTCTTTTTTTTTTTTTTTTTTTTAGGAAAGTCCAGGTACAAATAAGGGCTATTGTTTAAGTCAAGAGACAATTGTGGCATAGAGTAAAATTTTTAGTGCAACTAGCTAAGAGGGGAAAAGGCAAGTTTCTCAACTCAGGCATTGTTGACATTTGGGGCCTGATAATTCTTTGGGTTGGGATTCAAGAGCTGTCTTATTCCTTGTAGAATGTTTAGCAGCATCCCTGCCTCTAATGACAAGATGCTCAGATCACGCTGCCCCTAAGTGTGACAACCAAAAGTATTTCTAGACTTTGCCACATGTCTTCTGAGGGGCAAAATGAGCCTCAGTTGAAAACCAGTGTTTTAGAACATTGCCTAAAAGGAACACATGTGGGACGACTTCACACTTACTGTAACATAATGAAAACAGTAAATTAATGTCATTCAGATGCTAAAAATACGATACCTTTTGTAGTCAACTTGTAAAAGATGTAAAGGCTGTGAAAGAGAAAGTACTCACGAGAGTTAAATAAACCTGCAAAAGACTACTTTATCCATTTATTGTTATTTTATTTTATTTTATTTTTTTTTTTTATTTTTTTTGAGTTGGTGTATCACTCCATTGCCCAGGTTGGAGTGCAGTGGCACGCTCACGGCATCCCAGTGTCAACCTGCTGGGCTCTGGCGATCCTTCCAAGTAGCTGGAACTATAGGCGTGCGCTACATGCCTGGCTACTTTTTTTTTTTTTTTTTAATTGTAGAGATGAGGTCTCACCAAGTTGCCTGGGCTGGTCTCGAACCCACAGGCTTAGGCAGTCCTCTCACCTCAGCCTCCCAAAGTGCTGGGATTATAGACTGAGCCCCTGAGCCTGGCCTATTCAGTGATTTTATAGGGGTTGGATAATGAGATTTATCCTAGGTGGTTATCTGATGTGTTTCATAGCACTTTACATGTGTCCTTATCTCCTAACCAGTCTATAACAGCAATGCTGTGTGATATGAATTTCCTTTTAGAGCTGCCATTCCCTTGACAAATAACAGGATTCTATATAGTCAAAAGTAATTTAAGAAATCGTAATAACAAAAATTTAGATAAATGTGTTTTACTGAAGTACCTTTTTTTCTAAAATGTTCACTTAATTGAAATGTAAATATGTTATGCATAGGTTTTTAAAGACTCTAGTTGTCACAAGCCCTCCCCTTTTAAAATTGAAGAAGCCAAGGCACATCCGTGTGGTGGCTGGAGTGTGGACTCTAGAGTTGTACTCCTTGGGTTCATATCTGGCCTCTTCCGTTTGCTGACTTTTTACCTAAAGCAAATTATTTCATCTTGCTAATAAGCTTTAGTTTCTGGGATAGAGAAAAAAATTGTACTTATCTCATAGAATTGGCTCTGAGGATTCAGTGAATTTATCCTTTTGCCATATTTTGGCATAAAACTTGGTACAGTCAGTAAATATTTACCTTTTTTATTTCAACTCAAATCCTTGTTGTAATGCTAGAACTCATAGGTGAAATGCCTGTTTTGCTCCACTTTGAGAATATATGCAAATATACTACTAAGTTTTGTTATCTCTGGTTGCCTGGCCCCAAGAATTGACTTAAAGTGAGAGGGACAGCATCTCAGAGAACAACTTAAAATTGAATGTGAGTGGGCACCTATTGTAGATACCCAGGTAATTTGAAGGAAGTTGGACATCTGCTTCAGATACTTTGTTAATTTAAGGAAAGAAACTCTAGTTGTACATTTCTTGGTATCCTTAACTCCTATGTGGTTCGTCTTGAGATTTTACCTGTATCTGTGACGATAATCCTGCTAGGGAAGAGAAACCATGCTGTATTCTGGAGTTTCTTTGAAGCAATGGGAGGCCCTATTGGGAAGTACGTGATCTCTTCACTCATGTACCCTATGTTCTCATTTTCCCTCATTTCCTAAGAAGTGGTTAAGTTGTCCTAGTTTCTGGTGGAGAGAGCCCCAAATCTTTTCTTTTACTTGAGGACTCAATGGGGAAGGATAAGGTCAAGGGGCCTAGAATATTCTTGGAAAATTTTTATATTTCTGTTCATTGCTTTTTAGTCCTCACATATGTATCTATTTTGAAGTGTCAGTATCTAAATATCAAACCAAAGAAGATTGCTTATTCTTTTCTCTCTAGGCAGAAAAACTAATGAAGCAAATTGGTGTGAAAAATGTGAAGCTCTCAGAATATGAAATGAGTATTGCTGCTCATCTAGTAGACCCTCTTAACATGCATGTACGTATTGTTAACCTTATTTAAAATTTTTTTTGTCTAGTGTTATATTCCAAGGATATTGGAGACCATGTCCAGGTTTAATGATTCTCTAGGAGAAATCCTGGGACTCAGCATATAGTTGTACTCATATATATAATGGATTACATTGAAAGGATTCAAGACAAAATGAGCAAAGGATAAAGGGTATTAGGTGAAGTCTGGAGGAGGCCAGGCAGAAGCTTCCAAGAGTCCTGTCCAAGTGGAGTCACACAGCATGTGTTTATTGTATCAACAAGTTGTGACAATACATGCTTGATGTCTACCAGGGAAGCTTACTAGAGACTCAATTTCCAGGGCTTGTGTTGGAGACTGCTTATATAGAGTCCCCTTTCCTTAAGTGTACCAAAATTTTGGATTCCCAGAAGGAAAACAAGTATTCACTATAAACCATATTGTTTGCACAAACAGTTTAAGTATGGTGATCTGTTCTTGTCAGGGAATGGTAAGAATCTAGAAATCTAAGTTCCCAAATGCCAGCCAAGGGCCAGTTGTGTAAGTAGGCCTAAGGATAGCAGTCTCAGGCCTGCTTTGTCAACGCTTTTCTGTCCACATTTGTTTAGTAAAACTTGTACTTTTATTTATTTACCTTTGTGGTATATAAAATGTATTGCTTTACGCCATGTGGATGTTTATTTCATGGGGTTTAAATCTAGATTTTCATGGTATGGTATGGTATGGTATGGTAGACAACAGGATTCTAATACCAGTTTTTCCATTTGTAGCACTGGCAAATTATTTCCTCTTTGAGTCTCAGGTTTCTTATGTATAATCCAGAGATATATAATAATACCTACTCTACCTACTTCATAAGGATTATTTTGAGGATCAGATTAATGTAATGTATAAAATTGTCTGAATATTTTGTAACAAGTATAAATATGCTAGTGTATACTTAATTACACTAATGTTATACTGATGTAAATAAGTAGAATAAAATATTACCCCATCTTCAAATCTAGAAAATAAAAATCTATAATGTCTTCAGTATTTATGTATACAGAGACATATACATACCCTATAATTGAGCCGCCATTTGAACTTGATTTACAGCGGAACCTTCTAGGGTCCCTACCTGTATTCAGCAGCACCTTCTAGGTTCCCTACCTGTATTAATCTCTGAACAAGTCTGTACTAAGAGACTCAGTTTTTTGTTGCAACTGTAATGACAGTTACAATTTTTTTTCCTTCATATTAGGCTGCTGGTTTGCACCTTGCCTTTTTATCATTTTTTTAAAAAGTTATTAAAAAAAATAAATCTGTTGTGAAGTATTGCTTCTGACTGCCCCCCGCCTTCAGTTCTGTTACCATGCCAGCATAGAGCCAGGCAGATTCTTTTAAATTTCAGTTAGTTTCTCCTTCCCAAAGTTTCCTTAAATTGAATTACAGGGTTTTCTTTGTCTATTTTGAAAATATGTATACCCTGTTTACTGTTTATAAGGATACCTCATTACGTTTTGACACCATTTTACTTTTGATAAATAAAATTCAGAAGTCCAGTGTGGTGGGTATAGACTTTATTTCTCAAATTAATTCCTGTGATGTTTGACAACATCCTATATGAAATAGATACTTTCCTGGTGAACTCTTTCCCAGCAGCCAGTACTAAATTACCTGTCTGACCTGGTTCTCTCAGTCTTGTATGGAAGAGTGTTTTCTCCTCATCAATGAAATAAATTCAACTTATTAGACTCCTACAGATTTTTGAGTACCTGACTTAGTATTTTTTCTTAGTAGTAGGTAATTGACTGTTAAATTCCTTTTTCTAGTTTTATAGTAGTTTATTTCATTATTGCCGTGAAGTTTTTACTCATGTGAACGTATCTTTTTAACCTCTTAATATTTATGTATACTTAACAGATTAAGCTTTGCCATTTGGGGGGAATTCTTTTTACTTTAGTGAGTGTACTTTTGTAGTAAAATTCGTGTTGATTTTAACTTTTACCAGGTTACTTGGAGTGATATAGCAGGGTTAGATGATGTCATTACAGATCTGAAAGACACAGTCATCTTACCTATCAAAAAGAAGCATTTGTTTGAGAATTCCCGGCTTCTGCAGCCTCCAAAAGGTGTGGTAAGAGCATAAATTTGTCTAAAGCATTAAAAACTTAAGAAACATTGAAATTTTATACCATTATAGAACTATTTTTCTTGTAAAATCAGATTCTAATGAGAATCCAGTACACTATTTTTTGAAATAATTCTCGTCCTTCTGCTTCTGAAATTTGGATAAATTTTTACCCTGTATTTACATGTCACAATTATCTTATTTTAAACTCATTTTTATTACTTCCTTGTAAATTAAGATTTAGAAAATTAAGGCTTGAAAAAAATCCAAAGCTGCAGTATAGGTTTTGTTTGTTTGTTTTGCAAACTAAGAGATCTTTTTGTTGTTTCACAACTTTTAGATTGAGTGATTCTGTACAGGAAAAATTGAGCTGCATATAAACTAGAAATTAAATGCTACTTTACTTTACATAATCACTTTTAAACATCTTTAACTCAAGAATCAAGAGTGCTTACATCTGCATCCTCAAGTATAATTTTTTTATCCTTGTTCATGCATGAACAAGATTTGTTCAAGGTGATTCAGGTGGAACATACATAACTTACAGTGAGATATACATGTGTGTCTGTTACCATGGCTTTTAGATACAATCTCTATAGGAGGTTAACTTACTTATTTCCACCTAGCAGAAGCTTCTGTTTAGTGTATTGACAAAACTAAATGGGTTTGATTTGTGTTATTAGTCAAGAATGAACTCAAAAATTATTAGTCATATTTATTTTTCAAAAATGTAGATCTTTAGTAATATTAAAATAGAACCGTGAATGTTTAAGTTGTTATTGTTTATAATCTTACTTATTTTGCAGCTATATCAGAAAGGTGTATTAATCTATATGTCAAAGGTAATTGAAACCTATTTTGTACATTTTTATGAAGTAGATAATTTTAGTTTCTGGTAAGTAGAGGATGACAATTACCAGCAAATATGACATATTCTTTTTATTACTGAAAGAACAAAACTGTTATGTATTTCTTTTTGTTTTCTGAAACAACACAGCTGCTTGTATTTTTTCCTAACAAGACACATTTAGTTTATTGTGGTTTTTTTTTCCCTAAAGAAATTTTTTGATGATCATCTGACTCCAGGTCAAAAGAGTAAGGTAAAAGTTGGATTATTTAGTTAAGTTCTTTATTACCTTCTTCCAGATTATTTGTAGTCTGAACTGAAAATAACTTTTCTACATTTCAGTTCTCAATTTCATGATGCTAGTGAATTTAGAAAAGCAAAAAATTTTTTTTATGCTATTAGAGAAAGCTCCTTTTTTCATCAGCGATGCTTTGTCCAGGTAATTGAGTGACTTTCCCAATTGGACTTGGTTTAAAGCCCGTTAGCCTAGTGCGTCCCAAATCATGGAGAGAATTCTTCAAAAGTTATGTGTAAACCTGCTTCTTATTTGAAAGCATTGTCTAAATTTAAAGTTACATGACTATTTTCTGATTATGTAATTTAAAGTTTTGCTATTTGAACTTTTTCAGCCTTGCATTTTGGAAAATTTTTAATCAAAGCAACAGTTTGAAAATCACTGATTTGCTTTTTGACTATTTACTGACTCTAATATAAAATTTGGCCAAATGGTACAAACATAAATATCTATAGAAATTAACCTTACTCAATATAAACGTTTTGAATTTAGGATTTGTTATTGTGGCACATAAGTTTTATTATATTTGTGAAGTGTATCATATCCCATGTTTCATTGCATTCTTTCAAATGTGGGTAGCCTAGGAAAGATATATTTTGGAAAGTTGATTTTCTGAGACCTACATTCATCTTAAGTACTTTATATTGAATAAGGTTAATTTCTGTAGATATTTATGTTTGTACCATTTGGTCAAATTTTATATTAGAGTCAGTAAATAGTGGTCCAAAAAATAAAAAATTGGTCACTGATAAGGTGATATATTTGTCACTACTGAGGATTATCTCAAATTTGGATCAGTTTGTCCCTGTACTTCTTTGCTTCCCTATCCTAAATATTTTATTTGCATGCAGCACCTTTTTTTTTTTTTGAGTCAGGGTCTCACTCTGTTGCCCAGGCTGGAGTACAGTTTCATGATCATGACTCACTACAGCCATGATCTCCTGGTCTCAGATGATCCTTCCACTTCAGCGTCCCAAGTAGCTGGGACTACAAGTGTGTACTACCAGACTCAGCTAATTTTTTATTTTTTTAAAGAGATCTTGCTCTGTTGCCTAGGTGTGCATCCACTAAGTAAAGCCCTTGCCGAAAACATCCATCTTAAAAGGAGGTTTGGACTTTGAAGCCTCTACAAACACAAAATAATAAACACATTTTTTATTTGTTGAAATTGGTTATAAAAGTATCAAATTCAGCTCAAGAAACTAGTTAAAAAGTTGCAAAACTAATAATTACAGTCAAATGTCTCATATTAATTTCCAGGCAGAATCATTTGCCACTGTTCATAAGTATTAACACTGTGGAAATTATTTTAGAAAAGTATATAGAAACGGTCTACTTTAATATTATTGCTAGACTCATTGATAATGTGTCAGATGAGACAAAATGAAGTTTAGCAAAACTTAATATACATACACAAATGGGGGTAAAACAGTTTACCAAATAATTGCAAAGCTAACAATCATGCAGCTACCACTCAGGTCAAGAAGAGAACATTGACAGCGCCTTGTGTGTGTACCATAATTATCACAGCTTTTTTCTCTCAAAAGTTATGACAGTCAAAAGCTTTCTTTACATATTAAGTCTTCAGACACATGTGCTCAGTTAATAACATTAATCATAATCCATGAAGAGAATTATTTGGAAAAACGAAATCCTGCTAGGAAGTTCCAAAACTAAACTACTAGAAATAAAATATTTAAAGTGATAAATGAATAATTTGAAGCAAATATGACATTCTACAAGCACTACATGAATTTTTTAAACAATAGGATAGCCGCAGAGTCATCAAAACATGGAGGCTTTTGTATTAATACTTCGTTCTGCAAACCCTGATACTTAAGTAGTATACATATAAAAGTTTGCTAGCAGTTGTCTGTACATTGCATATTATGGGATCAACATGCTGTTATGGAATAATAATTCCAAGCATCTGCAGTCATATCGCCTATATTTTTGCTTTAAATTAAATAGTTTTAGATTACCATTCTTTATTATTTTATATGAGCCATCCAAAAGAAAAGTGTCAGTACAAGGTTTATATTATAACTGATGTAACCACATCTTAAGCACCGAAATGGACTTAATTGCAAAGACTGCTTAAAAATACAGTTAACATGTACTGCCAAAACTTTAGAAAAGTTTTTTAAAAATGATTAAATTTGGGTGACTCAGCCTGTAATCCCAGCACTTTGCGAGGCTGAGGCAAGTGGATTGCCTGAGCCTGCGGGTTCGAAACCACCCCGGGCAACTTGGCGTGACCTCGTCTCTACCATAAATAAAAATTAGCTGGACGCAGTAGCACGTGCCTGTAGTTCCAGCTACTTGGAGGGCTGAGGCGGAAGGATTGCCAGAGCCAAGCAAGTCAACGATGCTGGGGTGGCCATGAGCATGCCACTGCACTCCAGCCTGGGTGACAGAGTGAGACTCCAACTCAAAAAAAAAAAAAAAAAGATTAAATTTGGGTCAGTTGGTTGTTAGAACTTGAATCTTAAAAAGTTAAAAAGACTAGCTGGGCTCGGTGGCTCAGCCTGTAATCCTGCGCCTTTGGGAGGCTGAGGTGAGTGAATTGCCTGAGCCCGCGGGTTCGAGACCCGCCTGGGCAGCGAGATCTCATCTCTACAATAAATAGAAAAAACAAAACCAGCTGGGCGTGGTAGCACATGCCTGTAATTCCGGCTACTTGGAAGGCTGAAGTGGAAGGATCGCTGGAGCCCAGCAGGTCGAGGCTGCGGTGGCCGGGAGCGGCCACTGCACTCCAGTCTGGGCGACCGAGTGAGACGCCAACTCAAAAAAAAAAAAAAAAAATCACAAAGACCAGTAGAACAATCTTTGTATGCTTGAGGGAAAGTTTGAACATTATTTTGAGGTTCCTTATGTAAAAAAAATTGCTAGGGTTATGGAATCAAGCTCAAGACTATATTTATTAAAAGAAATTGAAAAGGTATTTTTGGGAAATTTTATTCAAAGTATTTATTTTTCTTATATTTTTGAATTTTATTTTTATTATATATTAAATGTTGGACACTTCAACTCCCCTCCAGTTTATTTTAGCATGCCATCTATTTAGATGGCCATTTTTAAAGTTATTTCATGAGAAAAGTTGAGCTCTGAATTAAGCAAATATTTTGAGAAGTCTGCAGATTATAATTTTCATGAGGCCTATCTGTAGATTATGTTAGTAATCATCTGAGTAATAAATTTAGTAATTTAGTAAAATGATAAATTTAGTATTATTAATACAGTATTACTATTATATGTTTAGTATTATAAAATTTAGAAATTACTATCTCATTTTAGTTGAGAAACAGTTGTTGATTCCCAAAACGTTGAAGATCCTAACCTGTTTAGATTCCATATATGTTAGGAGTGGTACTTTAAGGCTGGGTGCAATGTCTCAAGCCTATAATTCTAGCACTTTGGGAGGAGGAGGCGAGAGAATTGCCTGAGAATGGGAGTTCGAGACCAGCCTGAGCAACATGGCAAGATCTCATCTCTACAATAAACCAAAAAAATATTAGCCGAGTGTGGTGGCACATGCCTGTAGTTCCAGCTACTTGGAAGTATCACCTGAACCCAGGTGGTCAAGGCTGTGGTGGCCATGAGCATGCCATGGCACTTCAGCCTGGGCAACAGAGTGAGACACTGACTCACACACACAAAAAAAGAGTGGTACTTTAAATTGTATTTAGCAGCAAATTGCTGTCAGTGGAAACTGTAGCAACCTAATAATAAGGTTTTATACTTTGGAAATTATAGCAAGAGTAATTGATAATTTCACATTCTTTTAAGAAAAGATCATGCCAGGCTTGGTGGCTCAGCCTGTAATCCCACACCTTTGGGAGGCTGAGGTGAGTGGATTGCCTGAGCCCGCGGGTTCGAGACCCGCCTGGGCAGCGAGACCTCATCTCTACAATAAATCAAAAAATCAGCCGGACATGGTAGCGCATGCCTGTAATTCCAGCTACTTGGAAGGCTGAGGCGGAAAGATCGCCGGAGCCCAGCAGGTCAAGGCTGCGGTGGCCGGGAGCGGCCACTGCACTCCAGTCTGGGCGACGGAGTGAGACTCCAACTCAAAAAAAAAAAAGAAAAGATCATTATCTGTTAGGGAAAAGGCACAGAGTTTTTTGGCTCAAACTTAAGTCTCTGAACAACAAGAAAGCAGTGTTTGCCACAGTCTGTTTTGAAGTTGTTTACCTTCTTTGGATAATATCAACGTTCTATAGTGCTCTGTTATCATGTGAAGGTGGAAGGTGTTAGATTATCTTATTTATCAACTGTTGATAAAGTGGTGTGTTTGGTTGTTGAGGATAGTCTTTAGTATTCTGAACTAGACCTTTTCATGAAGAGAAGGGGCACAAGGATGTCATTAATCCCCAAATATATGTTCTCACTGACACTGAACTAAGAACACGGCACCTTCCTTTTTACTGCTTTATCTACTATAAACAAGATTAATACAAGCAGAATGGAATACTGGGTAAACTTGTGTGAGCAGAATTAATATTTTACTCATTATTGCATAAACTAAAGCAAATACCTCATTTTCTTAAAGATGATAATAAAATAACATTAATTTCCAGGTGTTCTTCTCTATGGGCCTCCAGGCTGTGGTAAAACATTGATTGCCAAGGCCACAGCCAAAGAAGCAGGCTGTCGATTTATTAACCTTCAGCCTTCTACACTGACTGATAAGTGGTATGGAGAGTCTCAAAAGTTGGCTGCTGCTGTTTTCTCCCTTGCCATAAAACTCCAGCCTTCCATCATCTTTATAGATGAAATAGGTATGCTATATTTTCTATGTATTTTTGAAAGCCATTTTTAAAGGTGGTAGTTAGATAACTGGATTGAGCTTTAACATTTATTAGTCCATATTAATAAAACCAAAATATAACCAGCATCCTAATATACTATATATAATTTCTGTGTTATAGAATGAACTGTAGTCTACAAATTCCCCTGCCTGCTAGATAGGTTTTTCTGTCTTTTCTCTATTACAAGCAGTGTGCAGTGGACATCCATGTGTATGCTTTTTCATGTATATGTGTTTGTTTAGGATAGATACCTGGATGTGTTTATCTTCAGCTTTGTGTGGATTACCAGTTCTTTAGAGAGGTTTATATCTCTTTCCACTTTCACCGGTGTATGCTTTCCCATTTCCTATATACCCTTTAAGGTTTATTTTTTCAGATATTATCATTAAGTTTTGCCTGATTGCTAGTAAATTTGAGCATCTTTTAACATGTAGATTAGCCATTGAGTTTTCTTGCCTATAGATTGCAAGTTTTTCTTTGGAGTTATTTGCATTTTGGGGTTAATTCTTTGTAGGTGTTATGATTGCAAATATTTTCTAGATTGCTTATCTTTTTGATAGTTTTTTGCAGTGATAGAAGTTTGAATGTAGTCACCTTTATCAATATTTTTTCTTTATGATTTATACCTTTTATATATTTTATAAATACCTTCACTAACCCTATGAAAATTTCTTTTTAAAGATTATCTATATCATGAGGTAGGAATCTAACTTCATTATTTTCCAGAAGAACAACAAACTTATAAATTGATGCTATCCTCCCTTATGTATCATGACTTTTTTATTAGTGGACTCTTCTATATTTTATGGATCAATATTTCTATTATTTCTGATATAATTAATTATAAATATAGCAACATATATAGCTCTGTTGTATTACTATAGCTATATATCTTTATTACTATAGCTTTGAATTATATATTATATAATTATTACATGTAGTTTATGTAGTATAATAGGCACATTATTCGTAGTATAATAGGCTATGTGAAAATATATAGGTATGGTTTTGGTTATAACAGATACTCAGATTTATTTTACTGTATTATTTTGTGCTTTTTATTTACCAATCTGGTGGACTTTTTTTCTCTTTATTTATTCCCTTTTCCCTGCTTCAGGTTTAGAAGTTATGCATTCTTTATCTTTGTCTTAAAAGTCAAAGATAATGATCTCTGTCCTTCTCCCAAATAATACAGGGACCTTAGAACTCTTAGCTACTAATAATATTTCATCTCTTACATGTTGTTATTGTCCAGCATTTTATTTTTATTTTTCTATACCTTCCATGTTAGTTGTTACTTTATACTGGCATTTGGCATTGCTTGTTCTGACACCATGTTTGCCAGGTTTTTTCTCACCACTGCTTCTTGGATCCTGTCTTCTCTGGATTTAATTTTCTTCTGAAGTCTTTCAAAGTTCTTTCAGCAAAGGTTGTAAAGAGTGAACTCTTTCTGTGAAAGGGTGTTAATTCTTCCTCTCATCTTAAGTGATGTAGAGTCTTGTCCCTTGGCATCTCAAAGCTACAGTTCCATTGTCTTCCATTTATTCAATCTTTCTTGTTGCTTTTGAGAATTCTGCTTATTGCCTTATAATTCTTTCCAAGTAATCTTTATCATTAATTGCTGTTAGATTTTTATGTCATTCTGCTGTTTGACTATGGTTTTTCTAGGTCTGCATTTATTGTCATTTATCTTGCTAAGCCTTACTAATAATTTACCAAGTTTATGATGTCAGAATAATGTCTGAAAAAGCATAGTTAGCCACATTTTTTGTAATCTGTGATGAAGTTGTCAAATTTTTAAAGACTTTTTTCTTTTTTAAATTTTTTAAAATAAGCACACAATAATTGTACATTTCTGTGGAATAGATAGTGATGTTTTGATAACACTGGGGGTGCCAAAAACGTGTACACATATTAAGAGTTGTTATGTATGTATTACTTTTTGAAGTTGAGTTGAATTATGGTAGCAATGTGTAGTATGACGTTTGCTCAAAAGATGGAGTTAATCAATTGAATGCCAGCGTCACCATGCGGCAGGCAATACAGTTTAAGACAATGGCAGAAGCACAATTGTTTGAGGAGTACAAGACCATTTTGAAGCGGTATTTGAAATTCAAGAACGTTTTGGAAGTATAACAGTTGAGGCGTGAGTATGCAACAGAACCTTCAACATGCCTGTCAATTGCACACATTCTTGATAAGTTTGAGACACATGGGTACTATGTGTGACGTGCACAAGGGAAGATCTGGGAGGCCTCACACAGCAACAAGTCCTGCAGTAGTTCTCCGTAATCAGAAGTGTCTGGACGCTGATGGTAACCACTTTGAGTACCTCTTGTAATTGCAGAAGTCAAGTGTGACTTGTATTCATCTTCTATTGATATATATTGAGTATTACAATTTTCATAGTTTTTTCCTTTCTTAAAATGTATATTCTTATTTTGACACCCTCTATATAGCAATCAGATCAGAGTAAAGTAGCATATCCCTCGTCTCAAACATTTATCATTTATTTGTGTTAGAAACCTTTGAAATTCTATAAATAGTAAATAATTTATTATTGATATCTAAAGTTAAGGATCTTTGCCTTTTAGATTCCTTTCTACGAAACCGTTCAAGTTCTGACCATGAAGCTACAGCCATGATGAAAGCTCAGTTTATGAGTCTCTGGGATGGATTGGATACTGATCATAGCTGCCAGGTATTTGAGTGAAATCTGCACTCAACTTGTGCTTTGTTGTTCTTAATAGAACTTGGTGGGCTACATTTTACGCTTTTGCATAAACTCTGAATGAAATCTGTATAAACTTTTTTTCAGAATTATTAACACTTATATTGGGTGATGAAAATCTGAAAGAATATGGTTTATATACATTCATCCATTTTGAGTACTTCATCATATTAAACAAAACTTTAGTAGATTGCCTAAGTACCTGAAACAGATACAGTGTAAGAGAAAAAAACCCAGAGTAAAGCTACTCTTTGGAATTTTCAGAGCCTACAGTGCCAAAGAAGAGGAAGTAACTAGTGGCTGTGGGTATTGTGTCTATGTTTCTTTTCATTATTCTCTTTTCCTTGATTCTTACTTTTGACTCTTACCATAATTTCTTGTAGTCTTTAATCTCAGCTCTAATGTCACTTACTTTATTTTCATTTGCTAAGTTTACTAGTTGCTGAACACACGCTTTCTCACTTCCTGTCACATATGCCTATCTTTAGGATCCCAGTTTTATACAAGACAGTCTTCTGTCCTGGGCTTTGTCTCTTCCACCTGGATGGCTTTGAAAACCACAGCTATGTTCCCTTGTTATGTGAAAAAAGAGAAAGACAGCTTTATTTTTCAGTTTGCCTCTTTGGGGGTCTCAGTTTCACTTAGTTTTTGGCCTCTGAATATTCCATACTGTCTTGTCAGCTCAGTGGTATATTTTGAAAGAAAGTTTTTAAAAAACTCAGACTTGTTTGCTTTTTCAGCCATGTTGCTGGAAATGGACATCCTAGAATTATCTTTCCATTTTTTTCCTTTTGAATCACTTATATCTTATGGAAAAAACAATATTCCTTTGTTGTTTTTACTCTTATTTTTCTATTTTGCGATCTGTTTTTGCTTTTTAAAAAGACAATGTATTTAAAAAGACAATATCTTTCATTACTTCTTAAAAATGTAGTCATTGTTTCTTCAATTATTGTTTTCCATTCTCCACGTTTTATCTCCTGGAATGCCAATTGAATGTTTGTAGGACCTTATTTATATTTCTTGTCTTTTAACTTCTCTTTCATATTTTCTGTCTCTTTGTGCTCCATCTGGGTAGTTTTTTTACCTATCCAGTTTGATAATTCTAGGTTCATTTGGAGCTCTTCTGCTATCTAAACCTCTCATTGTGCTTAATTTCAATTATTATATTTTTCAGTTCTAGAAATTCTTCTAGATTTTTTTCCAAATCTATCAGTTTTGATAGACTCTTGTTGGCCAGGAACAGTGGCTCACACCTTTAATCCCAGCACTTTGGGAGGCCAAGGCAGAAAGACTGCTTTAGGCCAGGAGTTCAAGACCAGCCTGGACAACATAGTGAGACTCTGTCTATAAAAAGTAAAATAACAAAATAAAATATCTTGCCTATAACTCATATTTCCAATTGAATTAGAAAACCAGAGCCCTGGCTGGGTACAGTGGTTCATGCCTGTAATCCCAGCACTTTGGAAGGTCAAGGCATGAGGATTGCTTGAGCCTAGGAGTTTGAGACCAGCCTAGGAAACATAGTGAGATATCATCTGTACAAAAATAAAAAACCAACTCAGCATGGTGGTGCATACTTGTAGTCCCAGTTACTTGAGAAGCTGACACGGAAGATCACCTGAGCCCAGGAGGTCGAGGCTGCTATGAGCCATGATCATGCCACTGCACTCTAGCCTGAGTGACGGAGCAAGGTCCTGTCTCAAAAATAAAAAGAGACCCCTGATTCAAAAAAAAAAAAAAAAGAGAGAAGAAAGAAAAAGAAAACCAGAACCCTGGCATCAACTACCTGTGTGACCTTGGCCAAATTTTATAGTCATTCTTGGTCTTTATAGAGAGAATAATATCTATAAAAAGTAAAGAATAGTATCCACCTCAGAATTGTTGTGAGTAAAGTAGTCTTATAAGTGCCTGGCATCACCTGGTGTGGTAGTTCACACTTGTAATCCTAGCATTTTGGGAGACTGGGGTAGGAGTATTGCTTGAGGTTAGGTGTTGCAGACCAGCCTGGGCAACATAACAAGACCCCATCTCTGTAAAAAATAAAATAAAATTAGCCAGTACGGTGGTGTGCCTGTAGACCCAGCTGCTGAAGAAGCTGAGGCAGGAAGTTTGCTTGAGCCCAGGAATTCGAGGCTGCAGTGAGTTATGATTACACCACTGCACTCTGGCCTAAGTGACAGAACAAGACCCTGTCTCCAAAAAAAAAAAATGCCTGGTATATGTTTACTTCATAAGGATTTGCTATGTGTATGTGTTTTTTGTTTTGTTTTGTTTTGTTTTTGAGTTGGAGTCTCACTCGGTCGCCCAGACTGGAGTGCAGTGGCCACTCCCGGCCACCGCAGCCTCGCCTGCTGGCCTCCGGCGATCCTTCCGCCTCCACCTTCCAAGTAGCCAGAATTACAGGCATGCGCTACCACACCCGGCTGATTTTTTGATTTAATTGTAGAGATGAGGTCTCGCTGCCCAGGCGGGTCTCGAACCCGCAGGCTCAGGCAATTCACTCACCTCAGCCTCCCAAAGGCGCAGGATTACAGGCTGAGCCTGTAATCCTTGTCTATCCCTTTAAATCTGTTTGCATGCTAACTTTATAGTCTATATTCAATAAGATCTGGTTCTGTTGCTTGAATTTATAGTGATTTAGTGGGAAACTCATCTTGGGAAACTTTATATATGAATTCTTCAGAACCTAATTGAAGGTTTGTTGATCTAAGGAGATTATTCCCCTCAACACAAATAGGTAATTCAGGTCTAAGATCTATATTAGCTGGTCATGAACCATGCTGTGTGTCCATGTGAGCATGCGTCTCGACTGAAGAGCCAAAGCCTACCTCTGCTTCAGGGATTGTCTAACATTTCACCACTTTTCTCAGTATAGAGCTTCTTGAGTCCTGGCTTTGTGTAGAGTAGTCTCGCAACAGGCTCAGTGACCTGTAAGGTGTACGCATCCCACTCTAGCATCTGTGCTTGTCCAGGTGGTATGTGGTCAGCTTCTGTGCTTATCTCCCTCATACAGAAGCTCTGCTGGCTTTAGCTTAATTCCTTTGCTTCTTTGCAGATTAATTTATTTGTCTTTACTACTTTATGTATATAAAATATAATAAAATATATTTTACATATAATACATATATTTATATATGTTTTGTGGCCAGAGGGCTTAAGAATCTCTTTTTTTTTTTGGAGTTGGAGTCTTACTCTGTCGCCCAGACTGGAGTGCAGTGGCACGCTCCTGGCCACTGCAGCCTCGATCTGCTGGGCTCCGGCGATCCTTCTGCCTTAGCCTTCCAAGTAGCTGGAACTACAGGCATGCGCTACTACGCGCGGCTAATTTTTTGATTTATTGTAGAGATGAGGCCTCGCCAAGTTGCCCAGGTGGGTCATGAACCCGCAGGTTCAGGCAATCCATTCACCTCAGCCTCCTAAAGCATGGAATTACAGGCTGAGCCACAGAGCCCGACTTTAAGGACCTCTTAAATTTACCACATTCCCCATAAGTTAAAAGTCTGAACTACATCATTCTCAAGAAGAAAATTAAGCCGAAAATTAAGCCACGTGGCCTCCTTCGACATTACCTTATGAATGTTTGGTTTTATCATGATGGAAACAGCCTTTAGCTTTTGTTGACTGGTTAGAGGAGAAAGCGCAATATAGATAAATTTAGGTGACATTAATGGAAAGGTTTTTTTATTAATAATTGGTTTTGGTAATCCCACAGGGAATTTATCAATGGGAGTCATTGACAGGTTGCCAAAACTAATTATTTTCTCTTTGAAATGGTATTTAAAGCATTGAAAAAATTGGTTAGCTCATGTAAGAGAAGATATCTTCATGTAGTATACCATATCAGAGTGTTCAGTGGTTGAGAGCCGAGGATCTAGAGGCAGCTGGATGAAATATACTTCATGGCCACTTCATCCAGAGCTTGATTCTGGTGCAGCACAACTTATAAACTAGGTTTTCAGACCATAATTCCTTATTACACTAATAGCAGTTACTGTTTTCACGATGATGAGTTTTGATTTGAAGGAGCAAATAAAGATATTGCTTTTTTTAAATTAAACTCTACATCATTTTTTAACTTTTATTTTGTGATGGAAGGCTTCGATTGATACTATTAGTTTTGAGTAATAGTTTTAGACATATTCTACTTATATATGAACCAGTTAGCTTTTTTCTAGAATTATCTTTTATATGATTATGGATGGAGCTCTGTACTCTAGCTAGCTTTCTTTAAATATCATATGGTCACAAAGGAAACAAAAATGTAGACTGCCCCAGTGAAACCCATTGCTGTTGTTGGAAACCATAGTAACGGATGACATGTTCTTCACCTTGAGAGATAGGAGACATAGAAGACAGTGTTACTAAAGTATTTATTGATGAAGTTTTATGTTTTGATACATGAATTTAAATTTGATTTTTTAAAATGTGAAATGATAAAAAATTATCTTAATGTTTTATTTTAAAGGTTTGAAAATATTTTAAATATTAATAGCTAAAAGGAACATTGATTGTGTTGCTTAAGTACTAAAAAATTACTGTTGCTTTCTATTTTGAGTTTTAGCTCATTTGTTAAATAGAATTAATACGGATCTAAAGGTTCTATTTTTGACCCTTAAAATAACTCTTTGAAATTTGCTTCTTGGCTGGGCTCAGTGGCTTAGCCTGTAATCCCGCGCTTTGGGAGGCCAAGGTGAGTGGATTGCCTGAGCCTGCGGGTTCGAGACCCGCCTGGGCAACATGGCGAGACCTCATCTCTACAATAAATCAAAAAATTAGCCTGGCACAGTAGTGCGTGCCTGTAGTTCTAGCTACTTGGAAGGCTAAGCGGAAGGATCGCCAGAGCCCAGCGGGTCAAGGCTGTGGTGGCCAGGAGCGTGCCACTGCACTCCAGTCTGAGCAACAGAGTGAGATTTTCAAATCAAAAAAAAAAAAAATTTGCCTCTTGATGTGAAATTACAAGTGGTTTTGGTCACTCCTGATTTTTCATCATGAATGTTATTATCTTATACATATTCATTAGATCATATTGTACTAGATTTATTTGGATTCCTTGATTCTGTTTTCTAGCATTCCATGTTTTTTATACTGGGTTTTTTGTTTTAAGCTGCTTGTTTACCTATATTGTTTCTCAAATTTTTTTCTTCAAATATTGCCTCAACCACAATGTATTTTGTGATTCTTTACAGTCATATGTAGTCATATTTCTCTTTTAATGGTTAATATATTCTGCATCAAAATATTCTTACTCATTCATCCACTGTCCTAAGCATTTACTTCATATGATCATGTTTAAGATTTGTGTTAAATTTGGAAGAATTTCTTTATTTTTTTTATTGAATTAGAAAGTCAAAGGAAAATAGGTGTGAACATTAATAATTCGATCTTAGGACCGATTAACACAAGTACAAAATTGCATTATGCAGTTCTCAAATTTATGTTTGTATTATATTTTCTTCCTCTAGGTGGCAGACTCTTATAGTTAATTGAAAGTAATTTGTCTGAGGCTCCTGAGTGTTTTTCAGTGTAAAGAGTAGAAGTAGAATGTAAAAGTTGGTGAATATTTTAACATGTTCTGGAGTTGAATTTTGGATTATTTTGGAAATCTAAAACCTCTTAGACAGACAAAAGATAATGTTAGAGAAATATGTTTCCATAGAAAACCACTCAGTTTTATTTTGGGTAGCAGATGTGTGATATTAATGGGTTATACTGAAGTATCAACAGTAATAGTAATATTGACATCTTTCAGAAATTAATTTGTCTTGTATCTCTTCATTTTTATTTGGGGGTTTTTGGCTTTGTTTGTTTTGAGTCTGAATCTCACTCTGTCGCTTAGGCTGAAGTGCAGTGGCATGCTCATGACCACCACAACTTCGACCTGCTGGGCTCAGGTGATCATTCCACCTCAGCCTTCCAAGTAGCTGAAACTTCAGGCGTGCACCACCACACCCGGCTAATTTTTTGGTTTATTGCCGAGATGAGGTCTCGCCATGTTGCTCAGGCTGTTCTCGGACCCCTGAGCTCAGGCAATTCTCTTGCCTCGACCTCCCACCAAAGTGCTGGGATTACAGGCGTGAGCCACTGTGCCCAGCCCTGTGCTGATTTTTTAAAAAAATTCTACATCTTTTATATATAAGTGACATAGACCCAGAGAGTTGACAGGGCCACCAGTAGTTTTTTTTTAACATTCTACTCAGCATTTTCATGTTTTTTTACTCTCTTGCTTTTGTTTAAAGTTGGATTGCTTGAGAATTTTCTTTAGCATTGAGGAGATAATCATATGCAGTGCTGATAGTGCCATGAGATAATGATGTGAAATCTAGAGGAAAAGCACTTGATATCTGTTACACTTACTAGAATCTTCAGACTTAAGGGGAAATTATTACCTCTATAATATTGTTATTAAAGGACTTGAATCATCTCCCCCATACTCCCAAACTGTATCCCCATAATATAATGGCTTTCAGTCATTCATCATGTATTAATTGAGTAACCATATTTTGCAAAATACAATAGTTTTTTTTTTAAGCCAATCCTTATGATTTTTTGTTAGGTACTTGCAACTGAACATATTCTAGACTAGGAAGAAATCCAGTGAAATGTGTTAGTTTTCCAGTTTGGCTATTATTTGATCTATTTAGGATTAATCTCAATTTGTATATATAAATATTTCAGAAATACTGTATTAAAATCTATTTCTTATAAAAGATTTAGTTTGGACACCACTTAAATTTTTTTGTCTTCTAAGCCCTAGTAATAATAACCTCAAAGGAGTATAATTGGTAGGTTTAATCCTTTCTATTTTCTTTATATATTTAGGTCATAGTAATGGGAGCAACGAATCGTCCTCAAGACCTTGACTCAGCTATAATGAGAAGAATGCCTACAAGGTTTCATATCAACCAGCCGGTAGGTGGTCTTGATTGATATTATGAAGAGCTAAATATTTCACCTTATAAAAGTCTTTACCTATGAGTTTAAGGAGCGTTTTGCCTAGAACTTATTTGTCACAGGCAGGGAAGGAAGGATCTCCCACTTCTTTGAGGCCTGTAATCCTACTTCTTGAAGTCCCTTCTACTCTCTTCCTTGGTTTTTGAATTATTTTTATCCAAGGTTAGTGTTATTTGCTTCTCTTCAACATATGTAATTACCTCAAGTTTTGCCTGGCCAGATTACTGGCTTACTTGAGCATGTAGAAAGTTGTCTGTAGAGGAAGATACATAAGAGAGTTTAAGTTGTAGTTTTGGTTTAGCTTAGAATAAAATGGTGGGCATTAGGGTTAACAAATTGTTTATTCTAAATACCTGGCATGAAGGACAATGAGGATTTATTTGATTATTTGCGGATATTATTCAGTGCTTCCCTCTGAAAGGATTAATGATTCTAGTAGACATTACACTTTAACTTAAGAATACAAATATGTGTGTGAGCCAATTCTGCCTTCTTTCTAGCATTTCCTGTTAAGAAATACCCTTTAGTAGATGATTATGACTTACCGATACCCTATACTTTTTGCACAGAATCCTCAAATCTTGAAATTTGCTTGCCTTCTGATTGAAGAAGAGTGAAAAAACAGTAGAAAATATATTACATGCACTCAGCATGTTATATGTTGCCATTTACAAGAACTTATTTGTAAATGTAATTCTGTTTATAATCTTTTCTAAAAATAACTTGTCCCATTTATATGCTGTAACTTACCATATCATTTTGTGGCAGTAAACATCATCTCCTAAAGATTGATGGTTGTAGCCTCTATAAAATTAACTCTTGACCAACTATTTACTACAGCTGCAAGCTCCTGAAGATATAAACCTGCTTAACCACTTTATTACAAAATGTACTTGATAAATCAATAGAATCTTTTTTAAGTTATTGTAGGAGACTATAAAACCTATTTAGTATGACTAATATTCATTGAGCATTAATATGTGTCAGACACCTGCAAGTCTCTGGTGAGTAGGACCTGTCCCCAGTCCTCAAAAAACTCTGTTGCATGGAGGCAGACATAAATAAATAATGTAAAATGTGCTTTACAAAGGTATGTTAAAGAACTGTGAGGAACCAAGATGACGTTGGAAACTAATAACTGTGTCTGCGGAGTCAGTGGGAATTATAGAATCCAACTGGTCCTTGAAGGATGTTAGGACTTTGACAGGCAGATGAGACAAGGAAGGGCTCTCGTGCCAGAATGAACAAAGGAGAAGGTGTGGAAGCACGGGTAATGGGATATTCTAGGGTGGTTCAGTTAGCTCACAAGGAATACAGATGGAGATGAGCCTAGAAAGGTAGGCTCCTGCCAGGTTTAAATGAACTTTGCCTGCTTTGCACAAGAATTTTGATTTTATTTTATAAGCAAGACATCAGAACATTTTAAAGGAAAATTTGCTTATCTCAGTGGTTCTGAAGATGGAGATTACTGATAGAATCTCTATCAGCGATCCAATTGTAGTATAATAGATAACCATAGTTTTTGATATACAGTAGAACAGAACTTTGAATACAACATGGAAAATAGCCTTTATTAAAGTTATAAATTTAATATATCGTGTGAGCTATCAAAATGAGTTGTAACAGTTTTTACCAAATTTGTTGAAATAAAAACGAAAACTTTGTAACCCCCTTTTTCCCCATCATTAGTGAATATATACACATTATAATTTTTTTGCATATAGTTACAGTGTCAAAGTATATGACGATAACATAGCAAGTTAACCTTCCTACTTAACACACATGTATTACAGAAACAGGGATTGATTTGGTTTGATTATTTAGGTAATTTGATTTGATACTCATTGTAAGCAGTTCTGTTTTGTTGATGTTTGTGGGAATAGGGATAAGTTCAGCCATGAAAATTTTTTTAAGTGAAAAATTAAATATAATTATTAATAATTTGCTAATTTAGCATAATTCCAAAAAATTGAGTAAATAAGTATAACAACTGGATAACAAATTTCTTGCAATTTGGGTTGCTTCTAATAAAATTGAAGGGAGGGCCTGAGTTGTCAAGTGATGTATTATTATTAAAACTAGTAAAACAATTTTTGTGACATAACACTATGGGTGTGTTGGCATTAACTATAATATGAAGGAATTAAAACTAACATAATAAACCTCCTTCCCTCACCACTTATTTTATGTGAAGTTTTTACATATATCTATAAAAATGATAGGAATAGAATTGATACCACACCCTGTCTTTTTTAAGCAATAAGTAATAATCATTCTTGAGTACAAGACCTATTTGCTAAATACCCAGTCATATCATTTAGGAGATATAGTTCCAAAACTGTTTTTACATTTTATGACTAATGTCAAAATTAGACTGTTATTACGATGTTATGAGCAATAGGATACTAATAGCATATTTGTGTATTACTAATAATTATAACAGTAACTCAATCAAACGAAATTCTTAATACTTAGAGTTTATGAATACAGAATATTTAAAAATTCGATTTTAATCAGTGCATTTTTGTTTTAGAAGAACATGCTGATGCAATCAATACAGCCATGATAATTTTAAGAAGCTCCTATATTTACTGTATATGTATGGGATTCTGTAAATGGAGTTAAATGTAGTCTCTGTTGTCTGAAGTAACAATATAGGCACCACTGGGAGAAAAAAGAATGCAAATATATCATTAACACAAAATAAGTAAACAAGTGTATCATTAACACAGAATAAAAATTCACTAATATAAGCTAGTGGACATGGAAGTTATATATTGAAATGGAGAAACTGAGGGGTTACTGTGGCCATCTCTTTGAATTATCAATACATTTTATGGCAGTGGTGAGTTTTTGTGTTTCCTAAATGAAGAAAAAAATGAAGATTGCAGAGCTGTAGAGGAGAGAGATTGTGACCAAAGGAATTCACTTAATCACTCAGTAAGCATGAAAGACATGTCATTTCCCAAACATTGTGCTAGGTACTGGGGACACAGCGTAAGAAGGTACAGTTCGGTTAACAGCCACAGGTGATTACTTTAGAGTCTTGATTTTAGACCTTGTTTGACCTCATCAGAGTTTCTGATAAGTATTGACAGTTTAGAAGGGAAGAAGTATTAGGAAAAGTAATTTATCCTGATTTAAAAAAAAAAAATACTGACTGATAATTATCCTGCTTTTAGGCTTTAAAACAAAGAGAAGCAATCCTGAAACTCATCTTGAAAAATGAAAATGTAAGTAGAAAATCACAACTTTTCCTTATCCTACAAATATGATTATGTTCACAAAGTCTTTTTAGAGAAAAATGAAGACTGAGAATAATGCGCCTTTGAACTTGATCTAAATCACTACTTACCTCAGTGGTTCTGAAGGCGGAAATTACTGATAGAATCTTTATCAGTTATCCAACTGGAGTATAATAAACAGCTAAGGTTTTGATTTTTTTTTTTATAGAGGCAAGGTCTCGCTATGTTGCCTAGACTGGTCTCAAATTCCTGATCTCAGGTGATTCTTCCACCTTGACCTCCCAGAGTGCTGGGATTATAGACGTGAGCCACTGTGCCTGGCCTGTACAAAAGTTTTTTTGTTTTGCTTTTTGTTTTTTATATAATTGCAATATTTTTTGAGGTTGAAATTTAAATTTGAGAATGAATCTTTAATAACTTTTGTGTTTTAAGCTTTTTTAAATGGGCAATATAGTCACATGTTTCAAAATTAAAATATATATATTAAATGGTATACAGAGAAATGTCTTCATATTTTTCTGAATTTTTCAAGTTATCATTATGCCTATACAAACAAGTTAGAATATAATGTTCTTTCTCTCTTTTTATTATATAAATTGTATTAATAAACCTTGCATGCTGTTCTGTGCATTGCTTTTTTCACTTATCTTTGAGCTCTTGCCATATTAGCATGTAGTTTCCTTATTTTGTTCTATCCCCTCCCTCCCTCTCTCTCTTTCTCTTTCTCTTTGTCTCACTCTCTGTGTGGAATTTCATTGTATGGATATTTTATAATTTAGTTAATGCCACATTAAATGACATTGGGTTGGTTCTGGTCTTTTACTTTTATAAAAATGTTACATTTAATAACCTTGTATATACATCATTTCATACTTGTGCAGGGATATTAGTAGGGCAGATTTTCCAGAAGAGGAATTGCTAGATCAGAGGATAGAGCATTTATAATTTTGGTAGCTATTGCCTGTGCCAGTTTACTTTTACTCCAGCAATATTAGAGTCCCTCTTTTATGAATGTTAGGGAATTTTGTGCCAACATGATAGGTAGAAAATGATTATGTCATTCAAGTTTTAATTTTCATTCTTTAGGGATGCAATGCATGTTTTTAAGAACCATTTGAATTTTTTGTGTGAAATGTGTGTTCATATATTTTGCACATTTTCTGTTACAATGTTCTTTTTCTTAATAGATTTCTAGCTATCTTGGAACTCTATATGTATTTTGGAGACTTGCCCTTTGTATGATTTGAAAATATTTTTTACCAGTTTGTCTTTTGATTTTATTGGTTATCTTTTTTCTTTTTTAACCCTTTTTATGGCTTGTGGGTTTTGAATATAAATTTAGAAGGCCTTTTCCACTCCCATGTTTATAAAAGAATTTTTCAAACTGTTGCTATTTGTTTTTTCAAAACTCTATAATAATATATTTGAATAACATGGTATTCATCTCTATTCCAAATTTTATATCTAAACTCACTAAGAAATCACGGAGTCACACAGTAAGGAGAAATACTTGCATTTTGATGGTTTCCCTCATTCCTTGAACCACCATCAATCTCATGGCTAATTCTGCTCCATCCTTACCCTACTTTCACGCTTCCCATGTTTTTCTATTATACCTCATCTGTTAATATTTTAGTATCTCTACAATAGTTTTTTTTTTTTTTAACCTAGCCTTATTGCCATATTAAACCTACCAAAATATTGACAGTAATTCCTTATTTTCATTATCTGGGCTGTGTCCACATTTCTGATTATTTCATAAATGAATGGGTGTGTGTGTTTAACAATTTGTTTGACTCAGGATACATATAAATTTCATAATTTACAATTATTTATTAGCTTCTTTTTTCTTCCCTTGAATATTGAATACAATTATTTGATAGTTTTTAACTGTCTTTTAATCTAGAAGCTTTGAACTCTCTTTTAATCTATAGGCTTTGTGTTGTCCTTCATTTGTTTGCCTTTTTTTCTCCCTCCCTTTTAAATTATTGAAGAGGGCCAGGTACAATGGTTCATACCTGTAATTTCAGCACTTTGGAAGGCCCAGGTAGGAGGATTGATTGAGACCAGGAGTTTTTGAGACCAGCCTGGGTAATATAGCTAGACCACATTGCTACAAAAAAATTTTAAAAATTAACCAGGCATGGTAGCTCATGCATAGTGCTAGCTACTCAGGGAGATTCTTTGAGCCCCGAAGTTTGCGGTTATAGTGAGCTGTGATCACTCCACTTACTCCACCTGAGTGACAGAATGAGACCCTGTCTCTCGGGGAGGGGAAAAGTGTGTGTGTGTGTGTGTGTGTGTGTGTGTGTGTGTGTGTGTGAAAGAAAGTTGGGTTTGTCCAGATTTTTCCACAGTGTGAATTTTACTGATTGCACAAGGAGTGCAGATTCCTCCAAAATTGATAGTTGGATCAAGAGACTAGATGAGATTCAGACTAGTGGAGAAAAAAGGGCACGCAGCACGGGGCAAGGTAGAATTATATATTCTTCCATCAGGAGAAATATAATATCTGGGTGGCCTTCATGTTTTATGTTAAATCTTTGATACATTTGGGATTTATCTGGATAGATGATGTGCAGTATGAATTCAACTTGGCATTTGTTTTCCCAGATGGATACCCTATTGTCCCAATACCATTTTTTGAATAGGTCATCTTTTCCTCACTAGAGATGCTGCTTTTATCAAATTCTCACCTGTATTGACTGTGTTTCTGGACTTCGAATTCAGGCATTGGCCTTTTGTCTTTATGCATTTTAAATTATTGAAGCTTTGTAAGTTGTACTATTTACTTGGTCTATACAGCCCTTGTTGTCCTCTGGCCCTAAGGTTATTTTTACTCCTTATTCTGCATGAATTTTATCATCTATATGTCTTGCATAGGCAAAAACAAATTTTAATACTTTTTTAGCCAGGCATGGTGGCTCATGACTGTAAACTCAGCACTTTGGGAGGCCAAAACTGGAGGATCTCTTGAGCCTAGGAGTTCAAGACCAGCCTGGGCAACATAGCGAGACCTTATCTCTACAAAAAAAATTAAAAAAAAAAATGTTTGGTGGATCATCATTCAAGAAAATTAAGATTTTTTTTTTATATTGACTCTGCTCAAAAGCACATCTTTCTGGTTTTTAATCTTTTTGTCTTTCAGTAGTATTGTAATAATTTATTTTTTAAAAATATGTCAAGATATGTAAAAGTTTAAAGAAATTAGCAAATTACAAAGATTAGATGAGTGATTATTAACTAATTAGGGTCATAAAGCCCTTTATGAGGCTTTATGAGAATAAGATATAAGCTATGTAGCCTTTCCTAAGAAAAGTGTGTTTATGCATGAAATGTGTGCAATTAGGGAAGCTCCTAAAATCTTCCATGCATTCTAGGTAAGGAATTCTGGTCCTAGATGAGAAATCAGTGGAATTATATTTTGCCTTTTAGTTAAAAATTTGATAACTGCTTTCAAATAAACATTGTGGACCAGACGCAGTGATTCAGGCTATAATCCCAGTGCTTTAGGAGGCTGAGGCAGGAGAATCGCTTAAGGCCAGGAGTTGAAGACCAGCCCGGGCAACATAACGAGACCCTGTATCTGCAAAATAAAAAATATAAAAAGTTAACAAGGCATAGTGGTACATGCCTGTAGTCCCAGTTGTTCTGCAGACTGAGGTCAGAGGAGCGCTTGAGCCCAGGAGTTTGAGCTATGATTGTGCCACTGCCCTCCAGCAAGGGTAAGCAAGACCCTATCTCTAAAAAGAAATTATGTAATTATACTGCTGTTTATATAAAACACACTTAATTGGTAAATCTTTAACAAGAATAGGTTGAAAAGTTTAGAAAAGAAAACAAGGGGAATAGTTAGCAAGTTCTTTTGAATTAGGATGGCTATCATTTGGCTAGAAATTTAAGATATTAGAAGATAGTTATGGTTTTGTAGACTTCAAGTTACTTAATACAGTTACTTAATTTGAAAATTTTAGTGAAAGATTGTATTGCATGCCTGGAAGTTTATTACATTTTTTACCCACATATATATGGTCTAGTACAGATACAGATGATGCGGATAGTTTACACTCAGCTGATGGGTATGAATATAAATTATGACATCTAAGCTGTTTGCCTCATAAGATAGTCATACGTTACCTAGGCTATTAGGTTTTCACATTTGAACTTAAGAAATTGCACATGTCAGAGCCAGGCACGGTGGCTCACGCCTGTGATTCCAGCACTTGGGCAGGCTGAGGTGGGAGGATTGCTTGAGGTCAGGAATTTGAGACCAGTCTGGACAACATGGTGGGACCACATCTAACAATAATTTAAACTTTGGTTTAAGTATTCTGCTTCTTTAAACAGCAGTGTCTTTGAGAATTATATTTGTCTTGGGAACAGGGAATTTTTAGCATTGCTTTTTATTCATGAAAGCACAAAGCATCAGTCTCTAATCAGTTTTATGATGCAAAAACGAATGCTCTCTGGATAAGTGCTGACATGGGAACATCTTATTTCCCACTAGCTGATATTTTTATGCTGAAGGCATATTGCTACTTCAATAACATCTGAAATAAATTAATTTTGTTGAAAGATGCATTCAGTCAGTAGCACATGCATTTATTTAATGAACTGAGCACCATAATTCTTACATATAGCGAGCAGAATCAGGGTTTTTGTGGTACAAATGAACTACCAGGCTTTTATGAGTTTTTCTGAAGCTTCTGTGTTCCACTCTTTTACAATGTTTTTTTGATGGGTCCTTCTTAACATGCTTTGCTTATTTTAAAAAGATCCTATATTGATTTGGGCTTAGAGATTTAAATATAAAAAGAATAAACTAAAAATTTATACCCTATAAAAGTATTATGTCTGACATTAAGGAGGTAGCTTTTTCTCTCTATAAATTTATCTGAATTAGTATAATTTATTTATTTATTTATTTTTATTTTTAATTTTTTTTTGAGTTGGAGTCTCACTCTGTTGCCCAGACTGGAGTGCAGTGGCCGCTCCCGGCCACCACAGCCTCGACCTGCTGGGCACCTGCGATCCTTCCGCTTCAGCTTTCCAAGTAGCTGGAACTACAGGCGCACGCTGCCACATCTGGCTAATTTTTTGATTTATTGTAGAGATGAGGTCTCGCCAAGTTGCCCAGGCGGGTCTCGAACCCACAGGCTCAGGCAATTCACTCACCTCAGCCTCCCAAGGCGTGGGATTACAGGCTGAGCCACTGAGCCCGGCTGAATTGGTATATTTTATATAACATAGCAACAGTAGTTAACAAGCGTGGACTTCAGAGGCAGACCTGAGAGTCTCCCACATTCTGGCTTGGCCATTCCATGCTGTGTGAATTTGGGCAAATACTGTTTAGTTTCTCTGTGTCTCATTTCTCTCACTCAGAAGTTGAATACCAACAATCTCAGAATCATTTTGAGGATTTAAGTAAAATTGTATATGTAAAATGCTTAAGAGCATTATGCATATTTGTATAATAATCAACTGCACATAAATAAGGGCTCTTCTTTCAAGCTGTTTAAAAATCTTTTAGCTTGTTGCAGTATTGCTTCCTGTCAAAATCTTTTTTAACTTGGGAATTGCTCTCAGTGTTGCTTAATGAAAATAATTCTGATTATTTCATGGTTTATCTAATAGCTTTTATCTTACAATAAAAGGGGCCACTTTTAAAGAGCTTGCTGTGTGCTAAGCATTTCCGTGAGATATACATTGCTTTATTCTCAATTCTCTAAGGGGTATATATTAGTCCTATTTTATAGTTGAGGAAACTGAAACCCAGAAGTTATATAATAACTTGTACATGAAGAAGTGGTAGAACCTGTCTCTTAACCATGAGGGAATGGTACCTTATCTTGCTCCCCCAGTGACTGGAATCTTCTCTTCGTTGTTCTCTTATGCTTGGTTTGGTCACCTTCGTAACTTTATCACCTTGTCATGCAAAAGTTCTGTGAGTAGCTGGAACATAGCGGGCCCAGTGATGGAGTGGTCAACAGATAGAATGGAGTTGTTAGTTGTTTAATTCTTACCGTGTTCTAGTACACTTTGGAAGGTTTTAAAGTAGCTTTAAGGATCTTTAAACTTAAAAGTCTTTAGATGTATGAAATATTTAAACATGTAAACAAATAGCCTTAAATCTTCCACCCAGATGTAACAGGCAACTTTAACATATTACCACATTTGGTTCTTTTCTTTTCTTTTTTTTTTTTTTGAGTTGTAGTCTCACTCTGTCGCCCAGACTGGAGTGCAGTGGCCGCTCCCGGCCACCGCAGCCTCGACCTGCTGGGCTCCGGCGATCCTTCCACCTCAGCCTTCCGAGTAGCCAAAATTACAGGGATGCGCTACCACGCCGGGCTGATTTTTTGATTTATTGTAGAGATGAGGTCTCGCTGCCCAGGCGGGTCTCGAACCAGCGGGCTCAGGCAATCCACTCACCTCAGCCTCCCAAAGGCGCGGGATTACAGGCTGAGCCACCGAGCCCGGCTTTCTTTTCTTTTAAAATTAAGCACAACCTTACAGATGAAACTAAGCAACCTCTCTCCACACTACCCTGCATCACCATCATCAGTAGCCTGCTGTCCAGGAGTTGATAAGAGTATATCAGTTCCATGAATGCATGTGTACAGATACCTAATACATGTGTATTGGCATAGGTTATTTCTACTCTTTCACTATTACAGTTGAGAAGTTAGATCCTTGTGTTTGTCTCCTGATTGAACCACATGTAAGAAGAGTTTCTCAGTCCCAAAAAAGCAAAAGTTACAAAGGAAAGAGAATAGACAAATCTGACTATAATCAGACTTTATGCTTCTGTATCACAAAATAACCTGAACAAAGTGAAAAAAAGAAGCCACAGGAAAACATTTACAACCCGAAAGCCAATTAAGGACTGATAGCCAAATTATATACAGAATTCCGATAATGAGTTTGTCAGGTTTTATGTATGTACATTAGATCACTGTGCTGTCATTAGCCCTAAGAACTTACTGTTTGATGTGTCTGAATATGAAACATTTCTTAAAAATCTGTTATTGTAGATTTGTCTATTTCTCTATATAATTATATTAATTTTTGCTGAATATGTTTTGATGCCATGCTGTTATACGTATGTATGTAGGTACAGCATTGTTACATTTTTCTGATGAATTACCTTTATCATTATGTAATAGCTTCTATGCCCGATTATGTATTTGAGTAAAAATCTGATCTGATGTAACTAAAACTATATTTGCTTTCTTTTCACTAATACTTGCCTTATACATCTTTTTCCAATCTTTTACTTTCACCTTTTCCTTTTTTTTCTTTCAAATGTAACACAAAGTCTGCCCCCCCCCAGCACAGGTGTAACTATCACAAACCTAAAATAGATCCGTTCTGAGTTTTTCTTTTTGGGGGAATGAGGGGTATAACCTAATTTTATCTTTTGCCAGCCTAATTTTCGTCTATTTTGCATGTGTGGTGATGTCTAAATGTAGAAGTTTTCTCCGTCTTACATGTTCTTATTGTCTAGCATTTTAGTTCCACTTTTGTTCATTCTTACTGTCTAGCATTTTAGTTGTGCTTTGTTTCTCTACCCCAAGTTAAATGATTACTGTTACTGTTCTTATAGCTAAAGCTTACTTCGATTTATCTATATGTTGACCATTTTCTTTGCTTCTCTTTGTTGCTTGCACCACTCCTACCTTCTGGGCTCAGTTTTCTTTTTCTCAAAGAACGTATGATTTGTCTTCATTTAACCTTCACATTTAGGAGTGAGAACGTTGTCATGTAAGGTCACAGTTGCAGAGCTGGCAAGAGACACCATGTTGTCTACCTTTAAGTCTCTTGTCCTTGTTGGAGTTGCTGTTCTTAAACACTGAGTCTTCCACAAATACAAATGGGAATTTAGTAACTAATAAAGGCAGCATTTCAAATCAGTGGAGAAAGTAAATGTTGCTGTGACATGTGGTTAACTGGAGGAAGATATAGCTAGACCTTTACTATATTGTGTTCACATCCTGACTCTGACCTTGTTAACCTCTCCAGGTCTCAAGTTCCTTATCTGAAAATGATACTTACCTGAGAGAACTCAATGAGAATAATACATATACATTGCTTAGTGCAAGTAAACGAGACACTAGAATCATTTAATAGATGATAGTCATACATTTTTCTCCTGCTCATTTTCTCTTTTCAATCTGTACGTAAGTTTAGTGTAATTATTATATTATTCCAAGTCTATTATGTGACCAGGACAATCACTTGATTGGCTTGACTAAGCTTAGGTTGGGGAGCAAAACTGTAGGGGCTTAATTCATGTTGAGGTAGTAGAATACCAAAGCCTTACAGTTAAAAAATGTTAAGTCGCGTATGTTTTGTTACGGATTCTGGCCTTGATGTAGGTGATTTGCCAAATGCTGTATGTTGTGTGTATTACAGAAAAGTGTCACCTGGTACCTTGTTGAGAAATACCACAGTGAATCCAACAGTGTTTGAATATTCGTCTATTCTTCCCCATTACTCCACAGTGTATCGAGTAACACTTATTTCTGCCTCAATCATAATGACAAAAATGAAAATTAGATTTCAAATTTCTAAGCTTTTATGGTTAAAAGAACTTCTAGAAACTTAAAATAGTTTTTAATGTATTTCCTCCCATGCTGTTATAATAAGTTTAGCTTTCTTTAACTCTAAGATAAATCCTTTACAATATATTTGTATTTGCTTTTTAAGCATGTTTCGTATTTGTTTCAGGTGGATAGGCACGTAGATCTGCTAGAAGTTGCCCAGGAAACTGATGGGTTTTCAGGAAGTGACCTAAAAGAGATGTGTCGCGATGCTGCCCTCCTCTGTGTCAGAGAATATGTTAATTCTGCATCAGAAGAAAGGTATGTGTATTTTGACTTGATGTCTAATCTTTTTCAAAACCGTTTAAGCTTTTAGGTTAGTTTATTTTGCTTTATAATAGCAACTCTGCTTATGGAATAAAAGATTATTTTGAATTAGCAGATTTGAATTCACAATTCCCCCTTCTCCAACTTTATTGCCATTTTTTTCTAATGGGGAGTTCTGAAAATGAATGAAGAAGGAATTTTGGGAAGGATCTACAATGAAGGGGTGGAAAAGCTGAATTTCTGCTGATAATGCATGAAATGGGTCATGGAAAGCTGACAGAAACCTCGGCTTGCCATCTTTATTAGGAAACAGGGTTCTCTGGCAGCCCTTGATTGCTTCTGCATCTTAAATTTCATTTCATATAGAAGCGAGTGCCCTATCTTCCATAAATTTCACATGTAAGTACAGGAGATATGAGGGTGTTGAGGACTAGACTTCAACTTATTAACAAGAATGTATTTACTGAAGAAATAAATTGCACTGCTGCAAATTTTACTTGAAATCAGTTCCAAAGTAGGTGAGCTGGAGAAACCAATTTTATATCAGTCTTATTCCAATAAAAATAGTAGTGAACTGGAATAATTCTGCCCTGGTGAACTGTGTCCTTTAAGGAAGTTTCCTAAAAGTCCACGTGCCCTGAACCAGTACTATACTGCATTTCTTTTCAGAATATCACCCTTCTAAGGAAGAATTTCTGTAATGCTTGTTGTAGTCCCCAGTGTCCTTTGGGGATTGTGTTGAATGCATTCTCCAGCTCTTGCTCCTTTGTGTTTCTTGGTCCCCCTTCTCATCATCTTGGAGTTTTCACTCCAGGTGACCCTGAATACCTTGTGGTATTCCTGTGTTTAATTACAGTGTGTTGTCATAGCAAGCTTCACCAAAAACCAGTTTTCTTTTGCGGGGGAAGGGAGGGGTAGATAGGTAGAAAGGTATTCATGAAAGTTTCTCTGTTCACTATGAGCTGTGTATGCACTGCTTCTGGACCTATCAGTGCGTCCTCGGAAACTACCTTCTGAAGGACTTGTCCTTGTATATAAGATTAAGAGGAGAAATAACAAGCCTATAAATAAATGTTGTTTAAGTAAATAGTGAAAGAACTGATTTTCTGCCTCAAAACCCTGAAAACTTTATATTTCATTATGACAGATCTGGCTAATTTTATATTTCATACTGAATTTCATATTTTATAATTTTGTATTTCAGTATGAAAAATCTGGATAGACCTGAGTTGTAATAACTTTTTTCCAGACTGTTTTTCCCTTAGTGACTATAAATTATAAAGCAGTCACATTGGATTTTGTTTTTCTCATTGTTGAAGTGGATTTGGATTATTAGTTTTTATTGCTCGTGAAGAATTTTTATATTCAGTTTGTAAAAAGCAAACCATACATATGAGTATATACTTAGGAATGCTGCTTTTTAATTTCAGTTTTATGGGAATGATTTTAATTGGAATTATGTTGCCATTTGGATAAACTAGCATACCTTTATATAACATTTTCACCTTACAGTAATATCCTGTACTTATATTCTTAGTGTGAATTCTTAGTTTTTAGCCCACCATTTTAGCATCCTACCTCTTAGTAATTAATGCTTTTACGAGCTCTCTCGACATCCAGCACAGTCAGGCTGCCACTGCTGTGAACAATTAATGCTTTAAAAAAGTCTCGTGTGCTTGTATATGCATAGATAATTCTAGAAGAATTTACATGAAGCTTGTGATTGTGGTTGTCTTTGGGGTCTTGAATGGTAGAGACCTCATCATTTATACCCCTTCGTAGAGTTGAAAACAAATTTTTTTTTTTTACCATATGCATCTTTTTTTAATCTTGGGTACTATGTTTTAGGGAGGTGTGTTCCAAAGTTATTTGATTATATGGTGATTGTGTTTGCATTTTAGCCACGATGAAGATGAAATTCGGCCTGTGCAACAGCAGGATCTGCATCGGGCAATTGAAAAGATGAAGAAATCAAAGGATGCAGCATTTCAGAATGTCTTGACACATGTTTGTTTAGATTAAGAGTAAAGATCATTTGTACAGTTCAGTGATCTAGTTTGTTGTGCCCTCTTATCAGCTAGTGCAAAGAGAATGAAAGGAGTGGTCTTTAAACAAGGAGGGAGTTCAACGTTTATGGTTTTATACTCTGAATTCTAAGTTATTGAGATATAGTTGTTATATAAACGGTATTACTACTTGTCACAAATCATGAGGAGGAACAATTTAATCTAGCCTGAATGTGGGTGCTTGTGTTTGACCTCTTTAGCCATATGTTGTTACAGCCTTATAGAATCTAAGCTGATCTTAAAGTCGTAAATGATTCATTGGGTCGTTAGGGAGAAATGGGGATGTGGTTAGGTGCTGGTTCCTAGACGTGTGAGTATGTGTTTGTGTGTATATGTGTATATTAAATGTATATATCCACACATTTTATATTGATGTTCTGTAGATATGTTTGAATACAGAAACTTTTTTTTACCCTATCTACTGAATCCAAAAGTACCAACTATTACATGGCAAAACTGAGATTTAAGGTTGTGTCAAAAAGGTACAGTGATTCAGCCATTTCCATTTGTCATTTGTTTCAGTCTTTTTTAAGTTGAACCTTTCTCTGTCTGCATTTAATTAGTTGGATCATCCACATCTGAATATATACATGGGCTCAATTATTATGGTCGTCAGGATGATCAAATAAAAATACTTGTTCAGTGAGCTGCATTGAATGGTCAGTAGGCAGTAAGATGCTCAACACTGAGTTCACCTCTTTCTGCAGGCACATTAGTAGAGACTTTTTTTTGATAATTTTAAATTGAGTTACGTGAATGACGGTGAATTAAAAGCCTTTCAGAAGAATGGGTTTGAAAAACCTCAGTGCCCTTCAATACATGTACATAACTTTTCTTTCTTCATTTAATGTAATTGATATTTCTGTTGTAACCATGTTTTTAAATATTAAAGTTTTATGTTCTTTAATTATGGTCAAATATAGTTTGGTCAACCACAAATGAAATGGTAGTTTAAAACTGTTACTAAATGTGCTAAACATACTCATTTTGTAACTAATTTTTAAAGTTTTCTTTGTATGTTATAAATTGTGCCCTGGTTAAATGCAAATATACACAAAATTCTCATATATTCATCCATCTGTAGTCATTGGATGTGAACTACATATGAACATTTTTTTGTTTAAAATTTTACTAGTCAGAATTCTGTTATAGGCACCTGAACGCACAGCATGAGGAAAACTGCACAACACAATCTTGAGCTGCCTTCTGAATACTCAGAAAGATTAAATTATGCTCCATATGTTTTTGTTTTTATTGTATTTCTTTGAAAAACTCTTAATCTTTATTCATGAGTTGTTGGGCTCATTTGCTTGATAATGTCTCACAAGAATCTTTAGGTAGTTTCTTCTTCAGTTGCACTTGGAATGGTGGGGTGAGAGATTCAGGAGAACCCTTTGGATAACAAAAAGCGAGTTATGGAAGATCGTGAGCATGATGGAAAAATTGAACGCCAGTTACCAAAAATAAAAAAAGTTGTCCCATTTTTAATAACTATATTATATTGTTATTTTATAAATGTGTAATAAAGGGAGTCCCTCTTTATTGGTTTTCCTCACTTAATCAAACTTGGTCTTTTTCAGTTATTTTTAATTTTCTAGGGGTTTTTGTTTTGTTTTTTGTTTGTTTTTGTTTTGTTTTTTTAGTTTATAAAACTTGCATTTGGATTTTATCTTGCTATGGAGTGTTTACACTGTATATCCTATATCCTAGTATCTAATCATTCTGTTTTATTATGAATTTCAGTAATCATTTAATTTTAATCTGATGGCATATTGATAGAAAATAAGGGGTGATGTATGCCCTCTGCATGTCCTTTCCTTTTTATCTTCTCTTAAATTCACAATATCAAATAGTAGTAGTAATTAAAATTTTCATGGTTTTAATCATCAAATGAAGTTAGAGAAATACACTAATCCCACCAACCATGACTCTTCTAGCATGTCATGGCCATAAAGTAGTTGAGAATACTTTATTTTCCTGATTTTAAATAACCTTTAGCTTATTTTATTTTTTTAGTCAGGGTTTCACTCTGTCACCCAGGTTGGAGTGCAGTGGCACAATCATGGCTCACCACCGCCTCAACCTCCTGGACTTAGGTGATCCTTCCACCTCAGCCTCCCCAGTAGCTGGGACTATAGATGTGCACCATCATACCTGGCTAATTTTTAATTTTTTTATAGAGACAAGGTCTCGCTTTGTTGCCCAGGCTGGTCTTGAACTCCTCAAGCAGTCCTTTAGCCTTGGCCTCCCAAAGTACGGAGATTTCAGGCATGAGTCACTGCACCTGACCTGCTTTTAAAGAACATTTAATGTTGTATAATGCCTATATTTCTGCTTTAGACATTCACTTCACATATTTAGTTGGATTCTAGATTCTAGGATAATTCATTATGGGTGACACTTAAGAGTACTATATCTGCCAGTTAAGTGCAGGCTTCCCCCATTAACTAGCTGTGTTTCCTTAAACTAGTTAACTCTTTGAGCCTCAGTTTCTCATCTATAAAATGGCACAACTGTGGCACCCACCTCGAAGGTTTGAATAATGAGATAATGCATGTAAGGCTATCAGCACAATGCCTGCCACAGAGTAACTCAGGTGGTACTATTGTATTGTCCCTTTTACACACTAATTACATAACCTGTTGACCAGACTCAATCTTCAAGTATTCTCCGTGCTTATCCAGTTCCATAATCCCTAGGCCTGTACTACTAGGATTGAAGGGATCATCTGTATAATGTTTCTCTAAAAGCTTCATTTCTGAAAGACTTGTGATAAGTCTGATGTGTCTCAAGCTCACAGGCCTTTTTTTTTGGGTAGAGTTTAGAAACTCAATTTAGTATTTCTTTCACTATTTCTGTCTCATCCAACTCCCTACCTGCAGGTGCACCCAGCTCTCATAAGAACTGGGCTGGCAAGCTAACACAAATTTTGAAAAGTCTGGAGTGGTTATGTTAATATCAAAGCAGATTTCAGAGCAAAGGATATCCCTGGGATATTTTAAAATTTATTTTGTTTTATTAAAGGATCAATGTAAGAGGACAGACTAATCTTAAAAATTAATGTATCAAAAAAGAGACTCAAAATGCAGGAGGTAAAAACAGAACCACAAGAGGATATAGACAAAGCAACAATTATAGCTGGAGGTCTGAGTACTTTTCTCTTGATAAATGACAGATCGGTAAATAGAAAATCAATAAGAATATAAACGATCTTGACAACATCCCACAAATAAGACCTACTTAATATTTATAGAGTACCACACACAACCACAAGAAAACATACTTTTATTTTTCAAGATCACATAGAACATTTACCAAGCAAGACCTTATTCTGGATCATCAAACATTTCTCAATATATTTAAAAGGAGTTACATTATATGAATCATGTTCTCTGGCTACAGTGGAATAAAATTATAAATAAAAGACAAATATATTTTTTTAAATATCCAATTATTTGGAAACAAAATGATGCATTTAAATAACTCATTAATGAAAGAAGAAATAAAAATCAAATTATTTTGAATGAAAAAAAAAACTGGGTTGGAGTGATCTATTCAGTGTGAACCATAATAACCTAGCATGTAGTAGCTGTAACCTACAGGTTTAGTGCTAGTAGGTGAAGGTGTCTCACGCCTTGAGTGTGCTTGTGTAAAAACGGCAGCAGCAACAGCAGCAACATCTCATTCGCATGAGTTTTTTACTGGAATTGTGTTGATCATGGACAAATGTTACAGGTTTCTTCTGGATAAAGAAAAATTGGATGATGTGTATTTTATAACTTTCTTTTTAGCTTCTCTTAAGATCAGAATAGAATTTTTTTTGAGTTGGAGTCTCACTCTTGTCGCCCAGGCTGGAGTGCAGTGGCGTGCTCACGGCCACCACAGCCTCGACCTGCTGAACTTAAGTGATCCTTCCGCCTCAGCCTTCCAAGTAGCTGGAACAACAGACACGTGCCACCACACCCAGCTAGTTTTTGTGATTTATTGTCTCACCAAGTTTCCCAGGCTGGTCTTGAACCCCTGAGCTCCCAAAGTGCTGGGATTACAGATTGAACCACCATGCCTGACCTTGAATAGAATTTCCTATGTGCTCAGCATATATACTACATTACTAAAACTTCAGCAGTAATATTGGCATAAACTTTTTACTATTCATTAATGGCCCATAAGGGTTTCATTACTATTAAACACTTAAGTGGAAGTATATTTTTGTAACTGTCTAATATTAAGTTAATAAACTTGCTTGAGAACATTTTGAGATACTTTTTTGCTTTTAAATAGGCAACAATGAATATTAGTGTTGCATGTGGAATGCTTCAAAGGCATGGGTTTGTAAACAGCTCAGTCTTAACACTAATGCCAAAACATTGAAATTATGACTGACGTGCACATTTGGAACTATGAATAGAATACAATGGTGTATGCCCTACTGAAGCTGCTTGGCTTTCAGAAATATCTAAGAATGACCAAGGTAAGTAAGGGGATGGCTATGTCATCCAGAAAACTAATGTCCTTCACTGGCATGTCTGAGGTAGATGAGGGTCATCTATTGGGCCATAGTCATAGACTTATAAAGGATACCAGTTAGGATTCTGTTGGGAGCAACCAGCTCTAGCTAAGTTAAGCAATAAAGGATATATTTGAAGGATAAGGGGAGTTCTTAAGACCAAAGGAAGCTAAAGAACCAGACAGGATAGAAACTTAGCCCCAGAAAGTTGGTTGGCTTGGTTTTTGTTTTTTGTTTAGCAGAAATAGCTCGATAATCTTGCTTTTCTTCCTCCTGGGTTAAATGAACTCCAGCTGTTTAAATTGCCCATTCAAGATTCAAGTGCCTGTAAGTGAGTGTGCAAATGCAGGTCAAAAGTCATCCCTAGCTGTCTTGGAGCTTTGAGAGAAGGCCCTGTGGGAACTCCTGTGGCTTAAATGGTTTGAGACAGAGTATCTGAATGTGCTGATCAAGACTAAATGCAAAAGCAGAGGTAATTTATATGTAAAGGAAATTGTAGGAAAGGGTGCTGGACCAGCAAAATATGGCAAATGGTCAGGTGATCACATGAAGCCATAGAGACGTGCTACATGAAGGGCAATATAACAAGTGGGCATGCTGAGGGTATGAGCAACGTACACGTGTGGTTTGTGCAATGGCCCTCTCGGGACTGCTTCGATGATGGATATCTCTGCCTAGATGGATGGTGAATGACCACATGGTGAGCAAAGGCTCACTTGTGCAAATCAAATCTCTTAGGTGACAGCCACCAGAAGAGTAGGGGGACTCCCTGTTTTGGGGAGGTGTCAGAACTTTATTTGTCTTTAGGCAGACAAAGGAGCTCAGAGATGAACCTCTGCTTGCATTCTCTGATTGCTAAATTTCCTTTATAAAAGGACAGCTTTTCAGAGCTGTTGTGGTCTGCAGTTCTCAGAATAAGCAACTCCAAATATGCCAAAGAAGTGTGTTCTAGGGTGGCATATTCTGGCCTCCCACAGTTCCATCAAACCTTTAGACATATGAGCAGTTGACTGTCCTGGTGCCTGTCAAATTTCCTGATTTTCCTACCTGTAAGGAGAGTGGTGTTGAGGGTTAGTGCTAGACCTAAAAGTCGCATGACAGAAAAGAGGGGGATTAAGAAAACAAACTTACTGTTGTCAAGTAACCAAGACTTGTTTCTTCTTACAGGGAAAATGGTTTGGAGACTATGGTGGCCTGATAAAAGTACTGAGATCTATTTATACAGTCCGCCATCATCTGACCAAATGATGTATGTATAGCTTTCCAGGAAGTCACGCAGCTTGGCATACTCACATCTTCATGTATCGACACATGCATTTTCTGCCTGCCTTTGTCCAACCGATTGGCACTAGGAGTCACCAAGTAACATCTGGGAGAAAGAAGGAGGGGCTACAAACGGCAGCTTTGAATTGGCTATTAAACCGGTTTTATTTGGGCTGATGATGAGTAGCAAAAAACTGTATGAAGCCTTCGGGACTGAAGGAAAGCAGGGACCGAAGGAGAAAAAAAGCCAAAGGTCACCGGAAGTATGGGTGGAAACAGGTACCCCCTTTCTTTCTGCATTCGTGGAGGTTGCTGAAAAAAAGAAACCCAACTGCTTCCATCCCTGCTGGTGAAACTCCTTGGGGGCACTTTGAGAACAAGATCTTTTTTTAATTTAATTTTTTTGAGTTAGAGTCTCACTCGGTTGCCCCGACTGGAGTGCAGTGGCATGACTCCGGCAACGACAGCCTCAATTTGCTGGGCTAAGGCAATCTTTCTGCCTCAGCCTTCCTAGTAGCTAAGACTACAGGCGTGCACTACCTGTAATGCAGTGGCATGACTCTGGCAACGACAGCCCAATTTGCTGGGCTAAGGCAATCTTTCTGCCTCAGCCTTCCTAGTAGCTAAGACTACAGGCGTGCACTACCCGTAATCATACTACCACACCTAGCTAATTTTTTTCTTTATTGTAGAGATGAGGTCTGTTGCCCCGGCTGGTCTTGAACTTGTGGGCTCAGGCAGTCCTCTCGCCTTGGCCTCCTAAAGTGCTGGGATTACAGGTGTGAGCCCCGACGCCCAGCCTGTAATTATGGTCTTAAAGACAGTTGCTGTTGTCTCTCCAGTTCCCCAAAGACATAGGATTCTCAACAGTCAAGTACAGACAGAAAGGACTCAGCCTTCATTCTGAGAAATTTATTAAAATCAGAACAAGCATCAGGTGTACATACAAATAATCATTTGCACTAAGTATAGGTCTAGGGCAGAAGAGCAGTCTTAAATATATTTTTAAATCACAAAATACATTTGGTTAAGGCGCTACAATCCTGTCTCATGGTTTCAATAAATACGTTGTTTCTTTAAAAAAAAAAAAAAGGTGTAGAGAGTGCCTCTGATTAAATGAAAATAGATACTATGAAAGACAAACTTTGCTATGGCCACTGTATATCATTTATTCTCAAAATTATTAGCTAAAATTAGCATTTAAAAAAATTTGAGAATATGAAAAAAATCACAGTTTTCTCTTTCCAGTTTAGGTTTCTTCCAGAGAGACCTATGTGTAAAAAGGTGCTGTTTCTTCATATATTCCTTGGCAACAATGAGTTATGCATGAAATACAAAGATCGCCTCTCAGGAAAGAAAGCCATCAGAGGATGGTCTCAAAACAGCTTGAGTCTTTGGAAAAGTTTTCTTTCAACTTTAATAAAATCAGCAGAGTTTAGAAAACTCTGGACCTTTCAGTACTTGAAGAAGGCAGCTTTGTAAGCAGCCTCTGTTCAAGAAGCTTTGTTGAACAGCTGAGGGGAATCCAACCCAGCCCCTGTGTCGTCCGTTGTAGACAGAGCACCAGACTGGGAGTCACGCAGCCTGGGTGCCCATTCAGTGCCACCAGGCCTTCCTAATAATGGCAGTTTCGCATCTTTGTTACAGTGCTCAGCAGCTTGCAAAGCACCAAGTACATCATCTATGTCCATGTGCTTACGTGTAAGATGAAAGGGTTGGATTCTGTGTTTGCCATAGTCTTTTCCAAGTCTAGAACCTCGCTAGCCTGATGGTGTGGATGATTTCTGGCTACAGCTGGTGCTGCAGTCAGATAGGTCCAGCCTCTCTTTAGAACACAATGACCACAGCAAAGAGGACAAAAGTGAACTTTCTACAACATTGCCAGAGTGTTTGACCCCTCAGTACAAATTATTTATCAAAGCACTGGACACTATTAAAAGTCACTGTTTAACTGGAGTTACATGATTCACAGATGGCCGTTCAGACTTACTAAACTACAACTTTTGTGGCAGAAAGGTTGCATAGATCCCTAAGATTAAATTCACATTATCACACATTGGGGTTTCTCCTGCCAGGTTTTCAACACATACGACACTGGGCAGTAGGGCTGTAAACAGGTATGAGGTAAAATACCAGCAAGAATCTTGATAAGCCACACCTCTTTTAGGGTGAGAACTTTTTTATTTTTTAGGTTTTTGCTCAGTTGTTCCGAAGAGGCTGCTCACCTGATTTATTTTACTTGTGGTATATGACATTGGGAGAGTGCAGATTGGCATGACTTATGCTAGAAAATACACTTCACTTTTTGGCAAGTAACTAGACACACAGTCAAAGCCTTGGGAAATCTGGGACATACTTGCACAGATGCAGTCAAGAATACAGGTAATTTTATTCTGAAATGTTTAACAATATTGCTTTCACCTGCTAAAATTTGGTCTTCAGTTTGACATATATATATGGTTACATAATATATATATATTATGTTGACTTTTTAAATTATAGACCATTTTTACTTCATTATAAAATATTCACTTTAAAATCAGTCATTGAGAAGCAATTGGATACAAAGCATCTAATCACAAAAATAGAAAAGGTATTCAAAGAGCACTTCAGAAAGAAAGTCCAGAGCCAAAGACATTTACTTGTTCTTCTCCAGGGACCTGTAATAATCTGTCAGGACCTTCCATGCTTTAGGGGCCATGAAGCCATCTGGGGGATTTTCTCCTTCCCGAGCGAGCTTCCTCATACGAGTTCCTGAGATGAAGTCAAACTCGTTGTGCCTGTCACAGGGTAGCAACAAAGAACACAATGTAAATAAGTAATGTATGCCTTGAAGATTCCTGGAGTATGTTATGATTTTTTAGACCCACATTTTTTTCTTTCTGCAAAATGCTGCATCTTCAAAAGCAGGCAGTTTACTAAATCTTCTCTCCAAAAAGTTGCAGGAAGAAAAGGAAAGAACAGCAGCTATCCATTCAATATTTACTGTGTATCTACTCTATCCATAGGAAGTGTTTTGAGGCCAGAGACTGTCTTCTGTTTCTCTGCCGACTTCTGTGAGCCCTCAGCATGAATGAGTGCACCACAAATGCTCACTGCGATCTTTTTCTACATTGCTTGCTTCCACTTAATGTGTCAGGTCCTCAGTCCATGCTCAGGGCATGCACGTTGAAGGAGAAATACTTAAGGACTGTCTACTATATACCAGGGACTGTGCTACATCTTTAGTGGACACAGAATGTCTAAGACTAGGTCTTGACTCACCAGAGAGATGCATTCCAATTGGGATGTGGCAATGCACTGCAAAGATTTCCCAAGGGCCCACATTTCGCCTCTTCCTTCACTTGTACAGATGCTGATTCAAGAATTTTCCTTTGAAAACCTACCTTGCTGGATCATAGAAGTCCATGGCTTTTTTGGCTTTGTTGTAGGCAGCCACTCGGAATGGAATGATTTCCACAGAGGTGAGGCCAGGGGCCATGCTCAAGACCTTGCCCCCATGAGTGGGTTCATACAGGTCCTTCTTGGTTTCAGGGTGGGGCATTCCTGCAGGGTCCCTGCCCACGATGTAGAAATTGGCCCCCGCAATCATCCGAGACCTGCAGTGCCACTGGACCTAGAAAATTATTAAGGGACATGCTGGTCATCGTGGGCCAACTCTGTGGGTCCCTGTTTACAGAAACACCTTTTTTTGCTTTAAAACTAATTCAGTGATGTGGGTAAGAGTTGCAAAAAAATTGGTGACATTCTAAGACTCTAGGCTGTCTTCTTCATGCTTGGTTACAATGGGTAGGATAGGAGAGTTAAAAATATACGAACGCTCCCTCTTCTCAGACAGGATCAGACACCTTCAGCGTGGTATGGCCATAGGCTGAAAACTCCTCCTATACCCCGAGATTATATTTCCTCATCTTTCTCCAACTAGGCCAGGAGACCAGCTCTTACAGTTCTACAGAACTATGTGAATTTTACTTTTCGGTGCCTCCCTACTCAGAATAAATTGCAGTTTAAAGGAAGTCACAGACTCCAATAGCTCATTGTTTGACTGCTGTTAATGAGCTAATTACTTTTTACATGCAGATTTGATTCCAGCCCAACACAACACTGCCCTCTTTGAAGCTCAGACAGAAATACAAAGGATGGAGAGGAGAGCCAGGGGCCTGGGCTTTGATCTGATTGAAGAGAATTAATTTATTAAACTCGGTGTGGGGCATTCCAAAGGGTTGAGACCCTTTCAATTCATCATGCTTGCCACAAACGCGTTCAAATCCACTACACTGGTTGGTGGTGCAGTGGGACAAAGGAAATCTCTGAAAGGCTCACTGTGTCATGATGAAAGGAACACAGTTATGTTTTAAAGACATCCTCTCCCTTTTTTTTTTGAGTTGGAGTCTCAGTCTGTTGCCAAGGCTGGAGTGCAGTGGCACTATCACAGCGACCACAGCCTCTACTTGCTGGGCTCAGAGGATCCTTCTGCCTCAACCTTCCAAGTAGCTGGAACTACAGGCGTGCCACCACTCCCAGCTAACTTTCTGATTTATTGTAGAGATGAGGTCTCGCCAAGTTGCCCAGGCTGGTCTCGAACCCCTGACCTCAGGCAATCCTCTCACCTCAGCCTCTCACTGTGCCCAGCTCTCCCTTCTAATGAAGCTCACAGGGCATGGCAAATCACTTAGAGTGATTAGAATTCTGAAATTGAATATTAGGTTAGATACAACTTGCCCTACAGCCCAGTTTAAGCTTCATTATATCTCTCATTCACATGCCAACCTTCATATCCTCAAAGGCAATTTATAATAGGTTTGATTTGATGTTTCTAGCACTTTTCAAATACTAAATGGAAACGTAGTTAAGTTGGATAAAAAAGAGAGACCAGAACATTCCCAGAATCCACTTGTAAGGAAGAAGACAAGATCCCAGAGATTCATTTGTTCTTGTAAGCAGAGTTTGAGCCCACATTCCTGAGGCCCAGAGCCTCCCTGCTCAGGTAATTGCTCACCTCCGTGGGGCCAGCATATAACATGGGAGATGGAAAGATGGCAACAATGGTTGACTTGGGGTCCAGGACCCCTTCCTCAAGCACAGCTGCGTGCTGCTTCATCCGCCAGTCCAGAGGCACATCGTCATCCTTGGTCCAGCCACCCAGAGGATGTAGCAGGAGGACTGGGTGCTTGTATCCCCTCTCAAGGAGCCTACGGCGGGGGTCTTGCATCAACAGAGCATGGCCATTGTGGACAGGATTGCGCAGCTGGAATGCAAACACTGCATCTGGGAAAGGAATGCAGAAAGCCAAGGTCAAAGAAACGCACAGTGTAACTTGTCCACAAAAATAGACAGGAAAGATGCAGCTGTGTTTATTGTTCAGTGCATTCATTAAATCCTTTGCTTGTGATAATCAGCTAGAGAATATACTGGGGTTTTTAGGGTGTTAATCCAACAGCACTGACCAACACCAGATTGCTCAGACAGAGTTGAGATGCACAGGCAGAAAGCTGTGTAGGGAGAGGCTGACTTGGGAATGAATGAAAACATTTGTCGCCAAGACCTTGCCTGCAAACCAAGGCACAGGCAGGACCAGCAGTAAATAGTCCTCTTGTACCCTGCTTTCCCATGGGGATTGAGGATAATTATGAGGACTGTTTTGGGGGGCCCATGTAAAGAACAACAATCTACAAATATTAAAAAGATTTCACCTTCACTTTAAAAAATCTTCAAAACTGCTCCACTTACTGATGGTCTCTTGAAAGCCTTAATTTTTTTTCTGATTATAAGCCAGGGTACCAAAAAAAAATGTGTATACATTTTAAGAGATGTTGAGATGTTTGCCATAATCAGAAGTTTCTCGATGCTGATGGTAACCACTTTGAGCACCTCTTGTAATTGCAGAAGCCAAACATGACTTGTATTCATCTTTTGTTACTGGTATATATTGAGTATTACAATTTTAGTACAGTATTTTTCCTTTCTTAGAATGTGTATACTTTTTTTGACACCCTATATATAATAGGCCAGACAGTGGCTCACACCTATAATCCTAGTGCTTTGGGAGGCTGAGGTGGGAGGATAGCTTGAGATCAGGAGTTGGAGACCAGCCTGGGCAACATAGTGAGACCACCCTCTCTACAAAAAAAAAATTTTTTTAATTAGCTGGGAATGGTAGCATGTGCCTATAGTCCCAGCTACTCAGAAAGCTGAGGCAGGAGGATCACTTGAGGCCAGAGTTAGAGGCTTCAGTGAGCTATATGATCACACCAATGCACTCACACCTGGGTCTCAGAGAGGGAGACCCTCTCTCAAATATACATATATATATATACATATATATATATATCCATTATGGAAAACTTGGGAGGTACAGAAAATATATATATATATATATATATATCCGTTACGGAAAACTTGGGAGGTACAGAAAAACTCAAAATAGAATATGAAAATCACCAATAACCCATCATGACCTTTTCTCCCTTTAAAAAAAAAATGTATACCATACAGGGTAAAAAATCTTCCTTCTCTTTGGTCCAACCCTAAAAGTTAGCCACTGTCACCTGCAGTTTGGGGCACGTGCTACCTGAGACTATTCTGCTTCTATACACAGAAGTAGGTTCGGGTATTTAAAATTATAAATATATATTTTTTTGTTTTTCAAAATATGTTCATGTTTCAAAAAGGATTATTCTATACAAATTATTCCACAATTTACTTTTTCACCTAATAAATATATCTTAGGTATCTTAGGTATTTTTCTGTGTCAGTGCATATTTTAACTGTTGTGTATAACAGTTAAAGTGTTTGACAAATGGATAGACAACTTTATAACTGTTTCTATACCATAGACATACCCATAGAAGATGTTTTTAGGTTTTGTAAACTATAAAATTGCTGACGTCTGATAGCCTTAATTCCTTTTTTTTTTTTTTTTATTCTTTGGGTTGGAGTCTCACTCTGTCGCCCAGGCTGGAGTGCCATGGCACACTCACAGCCATCCCAGCATCAACCTGCTGGGCTTCGGCGATCCTTCCACCTCAGCCTTCCAAGTAACCAGAACTACAGGCATGTGCTACCATGCCTAGTTAATTTTTGACTTATTGTAAAGATGAGGTCTCACCAAGTTGCCCGGGCTGGCCTCGAACCCAGGCTCAGGCAATCCTCTCACCTTGTCCTCCCAAAGTGCTGGGATTACAGGCTGAGCCACCACGCCCAGCCAGCCTTAATTCTTTAATCAGAAGGTAGTAAGAAGCATTAACAAGTGCACTAGGGCCCGCCCTACATACCAGCACTCATTTCTTTGCATTTCTGTTTGAGTTCCAGGGGCGTCAGGCGATATTGGTCCAGCCCATCATTCCACATTATTCTCTCCAGCACCTGAAGGTCTCCACCAACCAGCCAATCTCCACTTTCCATCACCATCTAAAAAGATCATTATTAAGTTTGTTAACAATATTGATCTCTATTTTATCCAAAAACTTTTGTCCTTCTGGACCAATTTTTGGGGTACTATTGAACTGCCTTCAGTTCCTCAGCATCTCTAGCATAGTATTTCTCAAATTCTTTAGTCTCTTGATGCAATATTACTGAGACTGAGTGTTGTGGCTCATGCTGTAATTCTAGCACCTTGGGAGACTGAAGCAAGAGAATTGCTTGAGCCTAGGAGTGTAAGACCAGTCTTGGAAAGTTGGCAAGAGCTTGTCTCTACAAAACATAAAAAAATTAGCTGGGCATGGTGGCATGCACCTTAGTCTCAGTTAGTTGGGAGATTGAGGCAGAAGGATGGGCTGAGCCAAGGAGATCAAGGTTGTGGTCATCCAGCCTGGGTGACAGAGTGAGACCATGATTCAAAAAAAAAAAAAGTTATTGAGGATACTCTCTGGCAAGAACTTTTACTTATGTGGGTTCTATCTATCATTACTTTTCATTTTAGAAATTAAAACTAAGAAACTTTAAAAATATTTATTAATCCATTTAAAACAAACATTGATGAACCTGTTACATATGATCATAAATTCATAAATAACATTTTTAGAGAAAAATAAATAGTATTTCCCCTCTAAAAAATAGGAAGTATGACATTGTTTTACATATTTGCAGTCTCTTTAATGTTTGAATAGAAGACTTAATACCTACATCCGCATTTAATCTGTAGTAATATATTGTTTTGCTGAAGTATAAAAAGAAAATTCAACCACAGGTAGGTAGTTGGAAAAGGGAAGAGGATGTGAATAGCCTTTTTATGTAAGTGCGAATGGTCTTCTTTGATACTACACCAAAACTCAACAAATGCTACTTTATTCAATGTAAGTTGCTCTGTGAAATCTGAAGTCACATCAGTGTACTTTTCGTGCTCTGTTACATTAAAAATCCTTTGTGCTTTGAATGAATCTTTTACCCATGAAGGATCTTATACCATTCTATATTGGTCAATTAGAAAATATTGGTGCATAGTGATGAAAAGTGCCATCACTACAGGTATAGCTAGTTGTCACAGTCTCAAGTTGACCAGTCACTGTTTTTGTACCAGCAGTTCAAATGTCAACACAGTGAAAAAGGCAAATTAGTATTATGAACATAGTTTTAAGCTGGGGGATATTCTGGAAAGGTCTTGGGGATTCCTAGGGTTTTATGAACTATACTTTGAGAACCACAGCTAGCACATTCCTAATACAGTTTGATGTATCTTAGACCATTTCAACAAGGACTCAAATTAGAAGCAGACAAGTTGTTTTATACCAGTTAATTATTGAGTACAATTTCTATGGAAATTCTCAAAAGATACAGCCTTCTTCAGTTATCTCAGTTTTAATCTGTAGTAACTAAATGAAATGAAAGCAACGAATGAAAATTTTCAAAGAGCAGTAAATTATAGCCAAGTCCACATCTAAGGCTAAACACGGACTATTAGCTAAAACTCCACTTTCTCAAATGACCTTGATAAGTCCACTCAGTGGAGGAAAGCACAGTCTTTTCAACAAGTGGTATTGGGAAACTGGATATCCACATGCAAAAAGATGAAGTTGAGCCCTTATACCATGTACAAAAATTAACAACATAGAAAGACCTAAAACTATTAAACTCTTAGAAAAAGATATAGGGGGAAAGCTTTATGATATTGGAGTTGGCAGTGATTTCTTGACACCAAAAGCACAGGCAACAAAAGCAAAAATAAACAAATGGGACGACTTCAAACTTAAAACCTTTGTGCATCAGAAGACACAGCCAACAGAGGGAAAAAGCAATCTACAGAATGTGAGAGAATATTTGCAAATCATATTAATTGATAAGGGGTTAATGTCCAGCATATGTAAAGGACTCCTACAGCTCAACAACAGTGAAAAAAATCAAATAACCCAATTAAGAAATGTGCAAAAGACTTGAATAGACGTATCTCCAAATGACCAAAAGTATATTAAAAGATGCTCGACATCACTAATTATAAGAGAAAGGCAAATTAAAGCCATGATGAGATATCATCCCTCACACCCATTAGAATAGTTACGTTCAAAAACCAGAAAATAACAAGTGTTGACAAGGATGTGGAAAAATGGGAACCCTTGTTCACTGTTAGTGGGATTATAAAAGGTGCAACCACCATAAAAATCAGTATGGAGGTTCTTAAAAATTTTAAAGGAGAACTACCATATAATCCAGCACCCCATTTCTGGTTTTGGGAAACTGGATATATATCCAAAGGGGAAACAAGGGTTTTGAAAAGACATGGCATACCCATGTTCATAGCACTATTCACAATTGCCAAGAGGTGGAAGCAACCCAAATGTCCATCAATGAATGAATGAATGAATACATAAAAGGTGTCATTTGCATACAATGAAATAGCATTCCTCCTTTAAAAGGTAGGAAATTTCCTCGCATGCTATAACATGGCTGAACCTTGAGAACATTATGGTAAGTGAAATAAGCCAGTCATAAAAAGACAAATAGTATTACGATTCCACATATATGAGACAGGAAATCTAAAGCAGTCAATTCATAGAGACAGGAAGCGAAATTGTAGGTACCAGGAGCTGGGGGAAGGAGAATAAGGGGAGTTGTTTTGTGGGTATAGAGTTTCAGTTTTGCAAGATGAAGTAGCTCTGGAAATCTATTTCACAACAATGTAAATATATTAACACTACTGAGATGCACACTTGCAAGTAGTTAAGAGATAAATTTTATGTGTTTTGTTTCTTAAAAGATGTGGGGTATAATTCAGGGTGAAGTATACAAATGGTCATTTGTATAGGTAAAGTTTGGGTTCATTTTGGTTCCCACTTCACCTGGTTTGAGATCAGGTACACTTACTGACGAAGTATGCCTCCCCCCCCCAGTAGTTTCTCACTACTGCCAATTCTTTTTTGTAGTATTATGATAATTGTTCAGGGTACTCAGTTCTTTGTTTCTGTGATGGATCACTGAGTACTATAGATTCGAAGTCCATCCAAGTTGCTGCGAAGTTCATAATTTTGTCCTTCTTTATAGCTGTGTAATATTCCATCATGTATATGTACCACAGTTTTTAAAATTCAGTCTACTTTTGATGGGCAGCATGGTTGGTTCCATGCTTTTGCTATTGTGAATAGTGCTGTAATAAACATGTATGTGCAGGTCACAATAAATTTTTTTTTAAAGAAAGAAAAAAATCTTACCATTTTTTGCTCACTGAGGATTTCACTGAGGTTACTATTAATACTCCCACTTTTCTACATCCAGTCACAGCTAAAAACATGACTTCAGGAAAGGGTGGGTATGAAGCAAGCATGGAGATCTTTAAAAGCGCCATCTTCACAGTATCCCACATTTAAAATGGCCCCGCTCTGGCCCCCTTTGATTGTGGCCCTCCCATGAGGACAAGGATACCCTGGTGGGAAAGCCCACCCAGAGTCCTCACCTACCCATTCTCTAGTCCACCACCGGGAGGCCCAATACTCTGGGATTCCCTGATCAATCAACAATGAGCTGACTGCTAGTGCCTGGGAGAACATCATCTCTCAAGCTGTCTTTCCAGGGTGGACCCACTCAGAGAAGCCCTAGTTCTGAGGGCTGGCCAAGAAAGGGGGTCTGCAGGGGGTATGGAGAGAGCTCAGATATGCAGCCTGGTGTGCCCACAAATATATCCCAAGAGCCCTCACAGCCCAGGAAAAGGCCAAGCATAGCAGGAGACAGACGAGTTGGTTAAAGGCCAAGGGCCAACCCTCTACACTCTACCATATTCTGATGCAAAACCAAGAAGTCCACATTTGAACTTGGCTTTCCAGATTGTTATCAAGACATAGTTATCAAAATAGAAGGATCAAATGTATTTTATTTAAGTTTGTTAGTGATATATGCAACTTTTAAAATCTGGTATGGGACTCCATTTGTATTCTTGTCCTGGGCTCCACAAATGTTAGAGGTTCTTCCTGTGTGAAGAATAGTCAAAATAATAAAAAAAACATTTTGGAAATCTGAGGCAGGAGGACTACTTGAGCTCAGCAGTTCGAGACTAGCCTAGGCAACATAGGGAGACCTTGTCTCTACCAAAATTCAAAAAAATTAGCCGGGCGTGGTGGCGCATGCCTGTAGTCCCAGCTACTCGCGCGGCTGAGATGGGAAGATTGCCTGAACCCAAGAGTTCAAGACTGCAGTGAGACGTGATTGTGACACTGCACTCCAGCTTGGGCGATAGAGTGAGACCCTGACTCATTAATAATAATAACAGTAATAATAATGAAAAACATGACAACTCTTGTTTTATTTTCTATACATTTAAATATATTCCCTCTGATATTAAAGTATAATCAATTACAGAGCTGTGTCTCTCTTAAGTCACTGAGACAAACATTACAGGAAGTCTTATTCCTCCAGTCAAATACTCCTGTGTAGCGGTTTTGCAATCATTCCCCTGATCAAATCACCTAACTGCCTTTTGCCATTGTCTAAGGAAAACTTGGTCACCTGAAATATTAGCAGAGAAGAGGGAGGCAAGAGTGAGAGAAAGCTGATTCGAAACACTTGGTAGGGAGGCACAAAGATAGTGAGGGTGTACCCCTGACTCACATTACCTGTTGTGACCAGATATTGAGGTTTACAACGACCTGCATTCTAGAAAGGCCAGGGAGTAGGAAATTAGGATAGAGCAGTGGTTCTAAACAGAGGCCGATTGTGCCTCTCCTGGTGACATTTGACAATATCTGAAGACAATTTTGACTGTCGTGACTGGAGTGCCGCTGGCAACTAACATATAGAGGCCAGAGTTGCTACCAAATATCCTACAATGCACGGGACAGCTCACACAACAAAGAATTATCTAGTCCAAAATGTCAGTAGCACTGAGGTTGAAAAACCCTGGGGTTAAGAGAGGTAATTATGCAACGTATTTGGCTGTGTTTTCCTGGCCTCCTTTATAAACTTTGCACTCAGGCAAATCACGGGGCACG